CCTCTAGACCCCGCCATAACATCAGGCCAGGCACTCCTTCAGATGACAACTGCAAAGCATTTCTCAAACGGTGTGGTCAGCACTGTAACGTGTGTGTGAGCCTATCACCGTTTTAAAAATAGGTCATTACAAAAGGCCGCACAGGAAATGGCTGGCTGCAGTATGTCAGGATTGTGTTATTGCCTGGAGCTGCGGCTGTCAGCAGACTCACACTAAAACTACTTTTCATGACACAACCGTGGAAGCCATCCATAAAAGGCTGGGATCACATCCACCTTTTATCCTGGAAAGCCCCAAAATGGTAGTGAATAGTAACAGATAAACAGAGAGTGTACATAAAGGATTATAACTGCATAAGAAGGTTTCTCTGCAGTTGTCAGTGTTTTTGTTTTGGTAAAAAGGCATTTAGATTGTGTATAGTTCTGGATGTGGTTGATCTGTCAGTGTTGACCCTGCATCATGCTGGCAAAGTCTGATCCATGTTCTTTCTGTGTGGAGTTTAAAGCCACACATCCTGCTCCAACAGTCTGGACAAAGGTGTGTACAAAGTGCCCTGTGGCGTTACAGCTGGTGTATACTTGGAGCTGTGTTCAGCTGGTGTCCTAACTGTTTATTTATTAGGGTAATTTACTGTTGCATTTGTCGGCTCAGGAGTTTGTTTGTACCAGATGATTGTGTTTCCAAGGCAAGTTCCAGTTGCTGTCCATAAAGATTTCATGGACCAGTCACAGCACTTGTGGTCCGCAACACTTTGACCCAAAGTAACTTTTAGCACAAAGTGCATGTCAACAGCACAGCAGCAGCGCAAGAAGCCATCAGATTGGCTGTAGATGCACAGCCGAGCTTGCTGATTGATAGTTCAGGTCCATGCCTGCTTTGAGTTGACTCTTGAGTAAAAAAATGGTTTTATGGATCAAATCTTTTGGTCATTTACTCAGCCTGAAACACCGACTAAATAATAGTCGGAGGAATGTAAATAGAATGACACATTAAAAAACAGGTACACGTTTTGAGTTGTTTTACAGTTTCTTAGTAAAAGAGCTCTTTTGACTGGGAAATTGATCATTCTGTAAACCACGCTTTGTCATGTGTGAGGGTACATCAGGTTACTGGAACCATATCCCTTATGCCATAACTCTGTCTAATCCAATCCAGTACAGTAGTAAGTGAGGCAGGAGGGAGGGGCTCCTGGTGACAGCCGTGGACTGTGTTTTGGTCTAAAGCAGCCATCAGTCTAAACAGAGCCCCCTTTGTCTGTAAGACGCCCAGACTTGTGACCAGATCTGCCACACCCTCTGTGAAGTCGGCTCTGTCCCCACTGAGGGGGTGAGGGGTGGGGTGCACTGGGAGACAGCAGGGTGCAGTGGGAGACAGACTCCTCCTCTCTCTCTCTTTCTGTGAGTGATTGATTACACAGTTCTGATTGGTGCTTAGTCCTGTCTGTCTGAGGGGATTTGGGGTGAAGGAGGAGGACTCTCATTGTTCTGTAATTGAATTCATGAAGGCCTGCTAATGTTTCAGCGTCTGTGAAACGGGCCGAGTGCTGCTGCTTATCTTTCCCAAACATGGCGGAAAAATCTGAGGCATTTCCCATTCCAGCTCTTTTTAAGCATCTTAGTTCATGGCCAAACCTGCACAATGTCGCACTGTTTTATGTTTATAAAAAACTAGTAAAGGCTCAAATGACCACATATCACACAACGTATAAAAAAATCGGAACAATTTAGTTACAAAGGAAAATGCTCAATTCTCAATTAAAAAAACAGTCTTTATTGGCAATGAAAGAATGTAATTTTCAACAAACAATCTAAGATTAAACTAGAACCAACATTAAATTAATTGTGTAATTGCTTAGAATGTTCCACACAATGGCATTAAACTTATCCATTTCCATGGAGACTCCACCAGATGCTAGATCCCCAGAGAAGAAACACCCATAATGACATAATTGCTTGATAGATGTTAAATGCCATACTGTGGAACATTCCTGACTAAGCAAAAACATCTCCATGGAGACAAGCAGTTGGTGGACCTTTTTTAAATTTTCTGTGATAGAGCACCACAACAATATTGGATTAATTAAAGCTGCTCTGTGCAACTTTGCTTGGGTTAGGGTTGCTAGGAATGTTCCCAAGTATAGCATTAACCATATTTATCAACTATTTATTCAATCACATGTGTTTTTATTGCTCAAAAATACATTGAAAAACATACACATTCTTACTTTAGGGTGGGCTTGCCTCTCCACAGTTCTAACCCATAACATGGTCTGGTGGCATAACCAGCATCCACTGAGAAGTTGAATCCACTAATGAATGACTTTGGAACATTCTGGCAAAGCAGTGACATTTATTATGGAGACAAGCAGATACCAGAAAAGTGACACAGTGCACCTTTAAAGGGACAGTTTGGAATTTTGGACATAGGACCCCATTTCCTAGTTAGCCGGAGTGTTGGAGACATGTGGAGACACTTTTTTTTATTCCATCCAGTCCTTGTATTTGCAGAGGCCGCTGGTGCTAGGCTAGTGCATGTCAATGGCCATAGTTAGCCTTGACACTAAAAACAGTCTTACCCACTCCACAAAACACCCGAAGCAAATCTATTATTACACAAGACTGTCCATGTAAATGTCTGTGTTGATAGAATAATGTTTGAAGTAAAACCAACCTTGCGCTTGAAGGATTTATGTCTGAGCAGCCGTAGTCAGTTGTAATTCCTGATAGAAAGCTTGGCAGCGGCGGACTGATATATGAGGAAATATGCAACGATTCATGCCAAGGTTAGTTTTACTTCAAACATGATTCTATCAACACAAACATTCACATGGACAGTCTGGTGTAATAATAGATTTGCTTCGGGTGTTTTGTGGAGTGGGTAAGACTGTTTTTAGTGGCAGGCTAACTGTGGCCATTGACATGCACTAGCCTAGCACCAGCAACCTCTGCAAATACAAGGACTGGATAGAATATTTTAAAAAGTGTCTCCACACGTCTCCAACACTCTGACTAACTAGGAAATGAGGTCCTATGTCCAAAATTCCAAACTGTCCCTTTAAAGGTGCACTGTGTCATTTTTCTGGTATCTGTTTGTCTCCATAATAAATAGGTTATTGCTTTGCGAGAATGTTCCATAGTCATTCATTAGTGGATTCAACTTCTCCATGGATGCTGGTTATGCCACCAGGCCATGCTATGGGTTAGATCTGTGGAGAGGCAAGCCCACCCTACAGGAAGAATGTGTATGAAAACACGTGATTGAATAAATAGTTGATAAATATGTTTAATGCTATATTTTGGAACATTCCTAGCAACCCTAACCCAAGCAAAGTTTCACAGAGCAGCTTTAATTAATCCAATACTGATGTGGTGCTCCATCACAGAAAATTTAAAAAAGGTCCACCAACTGCTTGTCTCAAAGGAAATGTTTTTGCTTTGCCAGGAATGTTCCACAATATGGCATTTAACATATCCATCAAGCAATTATGTCATTATGGGTGTTGCCTCTCCACAGATCTAGCATAGATTTGCTTCGGGTGTTTTGTGGAGTGGGTAAGACTGTTTTTAGTGGCAGGCTAACTGTGGCCATTGACATGCACTAGCCTAGCACCAGCAACCTCTGCAAATACAAGGACTGGATAGAATATTTTAAAAAGTGTCTCCACACGTCTCCAACACTCTGACTAACTAGGAAATGAGGTCCTATGTCCAAAATTCCAAACTGTCCCTTTAAAGGTGCACTGTGTCATTTTTCTGGTATCTGTTTGTCTCCATAATAAATAGGTTATTGCTTTGCGAGAATGTTCCATAGTCATTCATTAGTGGATTCAACTTCTCCATGGATGCTGGTTATGCCACCAGGCCATGCTATGGGTTAGATCTGTGGAGAGGCAAGCCCACCCTACAGGAAGAATGTGTATGAAAACACGTGATTGAATAAATAGTTGATAAATATGTTTAATGCTATATTTTGGAACATTCCTAGCAACCCTAACCCAAGCAAAGTTTCACAGAGCAGCTTTAATTAATCCAATACTGATGTGGTGCTCCATCACAGAAAATTTAAAAAAGGTCCACCAACTGCTTGTCTCAAAGGAAATGTTTTTGCTTTGCCAGGAATGTTCCACAATATGGCATTTAACATATCCATCAAGCAATTATGTCATTATGGGTGTTGCCTCTCCACAGATCTAGCATAGATTTGCTTCGGGTGTTTTGTGGAGTGGGTAAAACTGTTTTTAGTGGAAGGCTAACTATGGCCATTGACATGCACTAGCCTAGCACCAGCGACCTCTGCAAATACAAGGACTGGATGGAATATTTTAAAAAGTGTGTCCATATGTCTCCAACACTAGGAAATGAAGGTCCTATGTCCAAAATTCCGGACTATCCCTTTAAATGGATATAGCATTAGTTGCTAGCAATTAAAAAAGCTTAGTGATTACTGTGCCGCCTTAAATGTGACTAATTACGTCATAAGGCCGGTTACTGCTCCTGTACTAAAATGATCATTCACTCACAGAACTACTGCAGTAGACGTTAATACAGCGGTTGACACCCACACAGCTCCACTTAATAGTATGCCTGTCTAATAGTGTATAGTTGTTGAGTCTAACACAACAAAATCACCTCACATTTCTTTTCTAATATCCCTTCTGTGCTTTCCAAACACAACCATCATCGAAACCAAAGGCCGCTCCAAACATTACATGTAACTGAACTCATCTGTTTGTGAAAGTCTGCCAGAGCGGCCATGTGTTTCTCATCATCCATAAAGCCTGAGAACAGTACAGGTTCACTGTTCAGTCTGCCTCTGCCTCCTGCACTAGACAATTTTATCTATCATCTAAATGTAATCAAATCAAAGTAGCAGGGCTGTAGAAATTCTTGGACAACTTAAGACATGTCCTGCCGATTCTTAAGTTGACTAAAAAGGCGGCGTGGCAAAAGCTCACCTTTGAACAGTGAGTGTTGCTAAAGGCTTTGTTCATTGTCTTTCAGAGCGATCGTCTTCTGATCAAAGGGGCCAAGATCGTGAATGATGACCAGTCGTTCTGCGCTGACATTTACATGGAGGATGGAGTCATTAAGTGAGTGTTACGTTTAAAATCACTAATAAATAAATCGGCTCCAATTGTTTTTTCACTGTCTGAATAACCATGCTTTATGAAATTAAACCTTTCAAACTGTTTGTGCGTGTGGATGGTCTTAAAACTCATTCTTCATTGTAGGATACATTTATAACTACTTAAAGGGTTTTGGAAATGCTAATGCTAATTACGATTAAGCGGCCAATGTTAGCTTAATTTTATTTGTGTTATTTAGCATGACCACAACATTGATATGGTTAAGAGATATGCATGTCACATAGTTATTTTATTTTGCATTTTCATTTTTTTACTTTGATTAAAAAGGATTGTTTTTATAATTCGGATTCAGTATTATTCTCAGTTTTGTTCTCAATGTATCATATTTGTTTTTATGAACAGATTAGTGAGTAAAAATGGACATAGAAGAGGAAGACCAATACACATAAAAGTTTTTTAGTAAGCGTTTTACACAAGCAAATTCTTGTATTATACATCTCAGATAAAATACGTACAGAGAGAAGTTCATATGTGACATTTGCTATAATCTAAAAAGTTAGTATCGGCTCAAAAAAATCCACACTGTATCATTCCTAAAATGTAATTCCTTTATTTTACAGTGATATATTTTTTAACCTTTTAAAACATATATTATTATGTCTTTAAACATTGACATTAATCACAATTCCTGTTTTCTCTCAGACAAATTGGAGAAAACCTGATAGTACCAGGAGGGGTGAAGACCATCGACGCTCACGGGCGCATGCTGATGCCCGGAGGCATCGACGTGCACACCCGCTTCCAGATGCCCGACAGAGGCATGACCTCAGCAGATGACTTCTACCAAGGAACCAAGGCGGCACTAGCAGGAGGCACCACCATGATCAGTGAGTCTAAACGCAGTATTTAGAGATCTGACAAGACTAGAACACAAACCATATTTAGAAATCTGTGTGTGCAACCAAAGAGCCAATTAAGAGCAAGCGTGTTGAATGTTACGCCCCGTTCTGCACCCAATGCTGGTGTAGCAGTGACCGGGTGCTTAGCAACGAAACTGTCAATCACCCTGTTGCTAATACTAGAGGCAGTGACTTCTGGGAAAGAAGGCACCTGAGTTGTCTGTTATTAATGTTTATATCTTGATTTAGAGACAAAACAGCAAAGTAAACACCAGGATCATGCAGAGCTGATGAATACAACCATTTTACGACCTAAATGACGAGCCTGACAGCAGCAGTTATAGAGAGAGGGGTGATGGTTTTGAAAGTGAATTGGAGCCAGACCCCTAAAGAACCACATGCTCATGCCTCTGCTCACGTCCTATATGGAACGTAGCGTCTTGTGGGTTAGCTATGTTCATTTATTTACAGTCTATGATCCAAGTTTGGCTCAGGTTTTGGTCTAGTATTAACATGATGGGGCTCAGTATTGTAAAACTCTGTGCACTCGAGCAAATCCTACTATTTGACAGAATGATGAGGGACTCTTCAGAGCTGAGTAGGTCTAATTCTACTGGTTTAAACAAGAGCAGGAAGTGAGCCAAATCTAAAGCATCCATCTGCTGAGGACTGAGTCAGGACCAGGCCAGAGCCAAGTCGTGAAAGCATTGGACCTGAGAGCATTGGAGCGGAGCACACCCATGGAAACAAGTTAATTGCTGTCAATCTGTGCTGGTCAGCCTAAAATACCATACCAGGGGTTCCAAGACGTTAAGCTACTAAAGTGATTACATGCAAACACGGATTCACACTATCTTTATCATATTTGAAAACATGAGACAATGACTTGCACAGTGCCGAGGCAATCTTAGAAGATCGGTGCCAGATTTGTGTCGTACTGACTGAATAGTCTTTTCATTTAAACTCTAATGTCTGACGGCTGCTTTAATCCACCAAAATTTTTATTTGTCGACTACTTATTTTATATAGATGATAAGGGTTTATATGGGACAACAGCAAAAAGACAAAGTGAGTGAGTTAGCTGAACATTTGGTACTGATTGGTAATAATAGGTAAAAAGACAGATTAAACTAATTTCCAAATAAAGAACAAAACATGTCAAGGTATGTGTAAACAACGCACTGGTCTGTTAAAATCTTTATTTGAACCTCTTTGAAGATTAAACTCACACGTTCACACATTTAATCTGTCTTTATATTGTTTCCTAGTACCATAGCATGAACTCCCTTGCCGGTGTAGTCTTGTGAGTGCAGTTTGGGTCAGATATATAGAGATAAGTAACAGTGTTGCCGTTTTGACACACCCCCTTATTAGGTGTCTAATCGATCGACAGGACATGTCTTTAGTCTTTATCGATTTATTATTTGTGTACAGTTACTGTAATTTCCAGGCTATAAGCCTTTACTTTTTTCTCACACTTTGAACCCTGCGGTTTATAGAACGATATGATGAATGTATGGATGGAATATTTATCAACCCAGTGAATGCACGTGCAGCCTGAGTGCAGAAAGCACCACTGTCATGATGTTAAACATGAACAAGAAGTTGCAACGTTAGCTAGTGCTGTTGTCAGCACTAAAACAGTTTATCCCCGTGTGATAAAAGAAGTTATGATGCTAAATGACCATTAGTGAGGGGGATATGTCTTAATGACCTTGTATGCATTAAATGCAGGTGAGTACGTAAATGATGAGAAGAAATGTCTCAAACTTCAGCAGTCGGACATCCACTCATACCTGATTGATACACCTATCCCCCCGCCCCCAGGAGTGTCTGAAATCTGAAATCCTCCAAGACACTGACATGTTACAGACAGGACATAAACTCTTTCTGCAGGAGACGTGTGCAGTAGAGTGTCAATTGACGTAGTCTGATTATCTTGACGTGATACTGTCGCTGTACTGCCATGTTACAGACTTTGTTCGGAAAAAGCACGTAATTGTAATGTAAAGCATTTAATTGAAAGTAAAAAAAATCTTTCTATGTACCATCTTTCTGTGTAACTATCTTAAGTTACAACGTGGACACCTGCAGCTTATAGAAAATGTAGTTGATGTGGCTTATATTCAGGTGCGCTCAATAGTCTGGAAATGATGATACCTAAAGGAATCAATCATAGCATTAAATCTAGTGTAACTGGATTGTCCGCACATGTACTAGATTTAGATCTAAATGAACCTATGTAACTTTTGTGACTCCACCCCATCCATCTAGAATGCTCCCGAGAATGACACCAGACTAAGTTACAGGTCACATCTGTGGAGAGGTGACCCTGGTGCTGTAAGAATATGTACTGTAGTTATTTTTGACCAACAGATGCACCCAAAATTATACGAATGATTGATAGGTGGGTTTTATGCCATATGGTGGAACATTCCAGGCAAAGCAGTAACATCTCCATGGAGACAAGTTTGTGACCAGAAATGTAATATAGTGTATCTTTAACTAGCACTGTTTTAGTCAAAGTTTCCATGTCATTTGTCAGAGATGAGATTCAAAGCACATGTTGTATTAAATGAGCTCCATGACACTGCGCTTAGGTCATGTTGGAGTCACAGGAGCCAAATGAAGTGCCCCCCGTCCCTCCTGCAGTAGGCTGTGTGTGGCCTGAGTCAGCAGACCCTCCCTTTCTGGCTCCACTGCACATACTGACTTGAACTGCTGCAGAATAAATGGTAGTCACCCGACAGTTGAAGACAAGAGAACACTGAAGTTTATTTCCAAATAAAGGTTGTTTTAACAGATCAGAGTTTTGTTTACACATACCTTGACATGTTTTGTTTGGATGCTTTTAAAAAGAACCTGTATTCAGAAAGTCTTTTTACCTATAAATAACAAATCTTTAACTCACTCACTCACTCACTTCTCCTTTCTGCTGTTGCCCCATATAAATCCTTATCATCTATATAAAACAATTAATTGATAAATACAAATTTTGGTTGACTAAAGCTGCCTTCAGACGTTGCAGTTTACCTGCAAAATCTTTGGTGAACATGTGTCTGGGCCATTCTCTTTCTGCGGTGTGTTTTCAAGCGTCAGTGCGGCACCCAGAGACATGAACCCTTGAGACATTGCAATAGAGTTGTCCATTCCAGTTTAGTGCAGTGCAGTCTGACTATGCTTCCATTGTAGGGAGTATTATACCTCGGATGACTTGGGCCAAGATAACAAGGACTGAGTTGGCAGTGAGTTCCCGCAGTACTGCATAGAAATGGTATTTGTCTTAACACTAACCTCAGCCATATTTGCCTAGCCTTTACCAAAACCTTAAATCAAATGAGCCCATGTCTTCACTTTAAACCTTGTTGTTGATCTAATATTTAAGGATTTACCTCCCCACACTTTGATGAATTGCCTTAAATTGTCTTAATTTTGACTTTTTATGATTTTTTTTTTTTGTGTTTCCAATTCTTTATCTTATATCTTTATTTATTTATTATATTTATTTATTAACACAGAGATGACCTGTATTTTTTGTGTCACTGTCTTAACAAAATTAGGAATGATCTTATGTTTAATGCAAAATGATTTAAACCAACCACATATGGGCTCTTCTTCCACATTGAAAGCTCAGAGAACAGACGACAGCGCCCTCTGCTGTCAGCTGTAGCCCCTTCCACCCATGTGCTGTGTGCTTGTGTGCAGTTGACCATGTGGTTCCGGAGCCAGGGGCCTCTCTGCTGTCGTCGTTTGAGCAGTGGAGGGAGTGGGCGGACAGTAAGTCGTGCTGTGACTACTCTCTGCACATGGACATCACCGAGTGGCACCGGGGCCTGCAGGACGAGATGGAGACTCTGGTCAAGGATCATGGTAAAAGCCCACACACTCCACACTGCTGCAGAATTCACATGTGGGAGTGCTTTAGTGCAATATCAGTGTTTCATTTGGACTTTCATCAATAGGGCTGAATAGAGAAGAATTCAGTGTGGTGGTAATTATTTATTATCTACTGTATTCACCAAATCAAATCATTACTGACCACACAGGATTTTCTAAACCTTTGCAACATCCCACATACACCGTAGTCTCAAAACAATAAAACAAGAAAGATAAAATAACCATATGAAGTAATAATTAATTATACATGTATCTTTTTTTGTATAGCAGTGTCTTGTAGTCTAAAAAGTTTATTAGTCAAAAAAGGTAAAAATTAGCTAAAGCTAGTCAACTGATCAACATGCCTTTATACTGGACTGGAAATGGATGAAAATGATGCAGTGACACACCCATGGGGAAGAGAAAAGGGAAGGTCAAATTAATTGATGCCAATTAATTTTAATATAGTTCAATAAAATGTAAAAGTTTCTTTGCCCAAATATGTTTTTATCTTAAAACATATTTGATACATGTGTGTATCAGCTGGACTGAAGATGCTGCTTAGATGAGAAATGTGAAATGTCTTCATTCTAAAACCTTTGTCCAATTGACAGATTTGAAAATATCTTTTGCTATTTTGATACAACCCTACATAGCAATAAGAAATTAGAAAAATACTGTCAGACATACACATGGGTCGCTTAGAAAAGTTGTATGAAGCAAAACTGAAAATAATTTCCATGTTATGACCCAGTGCTAAGGTGTCTGAATAAAGACACTTGTACGTCAGTAAATCGCTCTGTCATTATGGGATTGTTAAGTGATGACACGGATCCAACCAGAAACTTTACAGCATAGAGTCTTTTTTGACTAAATGCCACACTGCTGTGTTTTTTATTCATAAATTATCTTTAAAAACACGTTAAACTGCAAATTGTCACAAATTGTTGTTACTTAGCTTCTGGCTTCTTACCTCAGCCTTGTACACTTTCTGTCACGCATAACCTTGTTAGTGTTAAATGACTGCAATCCCTTTTCATGTGAGATATGCTTTCAGGGAAAAAAGAGCACATTGTAAACATGGCCATTGTTTTCAGTCAGATGATGTGTTGTGACATTGCATTAACAGTTCTATAGTATAATAGTGTATGGTTACAAAACATTACACTGAACAGGACAAACTATGATACTCCTTTGTGTATATTCTGTGACAGGTGTCAACTCATTCTTGGTGTATCTGGTTTACAAGGATCTTTTCCAGCTCTCAGACTCTCAGGTGACCACTTTAACTGTATGATATTATCAACAGAACCATGAGAAAAGCCTTAACAAATACAATGAAATGAACCTCTATGTCCCGTGTGTTTGTGCAGGTGTACGAGGTGTTCAGTGTGATCCGGGACCTGGGGGCCATCGCACAGGTCCATGCAGAGAATGGAGATATAGTAGCAGAGGTGCGACTTCCCACAAAGCATCTGCACATTATTATCTGTCTGTGTCTGCTCCTGCTCTCGACCTGTAACATAAACTATAACTGTTTTTGGTCAACCCTGTCCACACATACGTCAACCCTGTCAGAGGTCTCGAGTAGTAGTTAGTTTCAGGTGAAAAATATTTATACCTATTTATACTACACTAGTGCTTTAGGCTGTAGTATGTGGGGCCAGAGGATGAGTATGTTCATCATTTTAACAAGGAAACTTAAACACACACACTAGTGATGAAAGCCACTTGAGACATGATTGGTTGAGAGGCAAAAATAGCATACTGTGATTGGCTGACAGCGGCAGTTCGGTGGAGAGATGGATAATGTTAAAGCGGGACTTCACTCACAGCCATATTTCAAATAGAGCTGCTTAAGGAGAGTGTGAGGAGGGAAGAGGGGCGGGGTCTGGGGGTATAAGGAACAGTGTGATTGGTCTGGTATTCTCACACTAACAAGTATCCGCACTTCAAACTCTGCCCCTGCAGCCTGTTGTTTGTTTGTATCAGAAACACCTGTCTGTAATCAGGGCGGTTTTGTGTGATGTCACATAGTACTTGAATTTGCAGTGGCCACAGAAGGCAACACAAACTCAATCAGAAACCTGCAAATGTACCTGGGAAACACTATAAACATAGTAGGGTGCATCATTTGTCCAACTTTTTGAAAAAAAAATAGGAAAATCTGTACCTAGTATAAATTTTTTTCACTTGCCAAAGTAAAATTCCATGAGAAATTTCATGAAATTTTATTGATGTTTACTAGGTCCACCAAGCCTCTGAAGTTTAATGTCTGCAGAAGTCTGAAATCTGAGCTGAAAAATCTGTTTTTCTTTAATGTCAAAAATAATTAATTTAGCCCTATAATATCAATGGAAGTTGAATATAAATGTTTACGTTGTGTATCATTTGCTACCAGTTATGTCTCTATCATTAGTTTCTGAAACAACAACAACAAATAAAAAAAAAAAAATCATTATTTTTAAAGTTATTTAAGAAAAAGTGATTTTTCTGCCAGAGCCTTATAGACACCTTTAGGATGGACCATAGGAGGCTTGGTGGACCCAGTAGATATTAAATTGAGCTAATATTCCACAGATTTTCTTTTAATAGGTATTGTCACATTTGAAAATTGGGTACAAGTTGAATTTCTGACATTGGCTCAAATGATACACCCTAATACACAGTTTAGTTGCAAAACGTTAAATTGATGTTTAGTTCCAATTTAAAAGCTATCATAGAAGTGGACAAGAATTGATACCAGAACACTTAATGGTATCAAACTAAGATACTTTAAAAATGGTTGTATTATACCCAGTTTTATTCCTGCTGGGTGTCCTATGACAGCACCATAGAATATATGCAGTCCCAGCACAAATAATGGTTTTAATCAAAACTTACGGAATTTCTGAGCATTTGGAACATTTTTTGTGCCAAAATACTACCTTGGATTCAGAATAGAATTGTTAAAAAATTGGTACCATAAGTGCCCCCCCCCCCCCAAAAAAAAAACAACAACAAAAAACAAGGTACTGTGAGGTTAGAAAGAAGGGAAAGCAGGAGTTTCTTCAGCCAAAGCCCTATAATGACCACAGCAATGTGTATCCATGTTATTATTTCTCTGAGCAAAGACAAAGCATAAGTATGTAGAAATGTTATGCTTTGGCTCTGACTTTATCAATATTTATATTATAATGGTGCCTAAACTAATTATGTAAAAGTGTCTCACATTACAACCTGTTGCCACCATACACATTTTAAAGATTTGTTGACAAATAATGACAAAAAATGTCCAATTCAATAATCATCATAATTGTATTGTAAAAGGACAAGAAAACTTGTTTTGTCTTGTTTCAAAATGTAGTTCCTGTTTGTGATTTTCAGGAGCAGCGTAGAATCCTCTCGCAGGGCATCACAGGACCAGAGGGACACGTGCTGAGCCGCCCTGAGGAGGTGAGGCGCTTCATGGAAAGAGCAGGATACATGTTTTTCCATTTGAGACATCCATATCCAATGTTTTTTTTTTTTTAAAGGATGTTATGATTTAAAGGCTCTGTACCTGATTTTTCCCATGTGTCTGAGCAAAATATGTGTCTTGCCCCAGTACAGATATATTGTGCAAGTAGCTCTTGAGTAAGGATGTACTGATCCAGCTTTTTCAGCTCTGATACCGTTCTCGAGTTCCAGTTGACTTATTACACAAACGTGTTATGTTACAGTTAATTATCCTTCAAATCCAGTGTTGGGAGTAACGAGTACACACAATGCTTTTTTAAACTGGATTGAAGTGGTGAGTTTTTCTTCATACAAATTCACTAAAATTACCGCAACATCAGCAGTGGTGAAGCGCCAGAGACGTGTCCGTGTAGACTGTCAGGTTACCACAAGTGAAAGGACCGGCGCAGAACTCCGCGCTCCATGAGGCTAACTGCAGCTGATGCCTGATCACGCCTTGCAGACATCCTGTTCCATGGGCTCAGGGTTCTCTCAGGGGCGGTCCTAGATTCCAAGTTCTAGTCCAAGATTAGTCCTGGTTTGGTCCTGGTTTAGTCCTGGTTCAGCTCTGGTTTAGTCCTAGTTTTAATCCTGGTTTAGACCTAGTTTAGACCTGGTTCAGTCCTGGTTTAGACCTGATTTAGTCCAGGTTTAGTCCTCGGTTCAGTCCTGGTTTAGTCCTGATTCAGTCCAGATTCAGCTCTGGTTCAGTTTTGGTTTAGTCCTGGTTTAGTCCTGGTTTAGTCCTGGTTCAGAACCTATACGGTGCAAAAGTTCAGAATCTTCGCTTTTTTTTTTGTGCGAGTAACTTTAACGTAATGCAATAGTAATGTAATGCCTAACATTTTAAATATAGTAATATTGTAATGTAATGAATGACTTTGAAATGATAGTACAAGTCATAAATTACACATTACAGTTTTAAAGTAACTTGCTCAACAGTGTTCAAATCACTACTGAACAGCTTTGTGTCAATAAAAGTTCAAAACATCATGAGACGTTTAAAGTCAAAATAAGTAAATAGTCTTATTACAGCCACTTAAAGGCGTAACCAGGATATTGACTTAATCAATTTTGCAACCAATACCCTATACAGCGAATCTTTTAGTATTGGCAGTGATATTTGATAGCAGTATCACTATTGGTGCATCCCCACTCTTGGGCTCTACTGTCATGGCAAAAAAGCACTCGTGAACTCATTGTGGTGAATAATTAGAATGTTAGGAATGCATATGGTAAGTGAAGGAATAACTTTGGACCACAGCAAACTGTTTAAAATGCTCTAGTTCTGTTTTTGATATTTTGAAGACATTAAAAATCAGGTACAGCGCCTGTTACCAAAACACATTGTATAATAGTGTCATCTGTCAAAATAACTTGCCAAAGATATGTTGCTATGGATTCAAAACAGACATAAAACCTGGGCCTAGACTTTCAGCATGTCTCTGTCAGTGTCATGAGAAGATTTGATCCTGGTCGGTATTTGAACTTAAGTTGTCGTGCAGGTGGAGGCGGAGGCTGTGAACCGCTCTGTGACTGTGGCCAATCAGACCAACTGTCCTCTGTACGTGACCAAAGTGATGAGCAAGAGCGCCGCTGATGTCATCGCTCAGGCTCGCAAGAAAGGTCAGACTAACTAACAACAGATTATCTATGGAGCAAAAATACAACTCTGTTTTATGGATTATGATTGTCGTTTCACTTCAAAATCAAACTCAACATTCTAGTGTAAATATGCATTTGTGGTGTTAGGAATGTCCAAATCTTTTTTTTATTTTTTTTTTGCATTTCATTTTTGCATTTCATTCACCTCACATTTTTTGTTTCAAGTATCATTTCATATTTCATATTTACTTGCAAGTAAATATGAAATGTGGAGACTTCAAACAATGGATTTACATTCACTAGATAATATATTTTCCTCTTTTTTTTTTCATTTTATTTGTTTGAGGAAGGTACAACAAAAATCAACAACAATAACAAAAACAAGGATATGTACTAGGGATGGGCATTCGTTGAAATTTTCTTAATCGATCGTCGAGAGACTTAACGATCGATTATCGATTAATCATTAACGTTTTTATATTAAAATGATCATCATTATTATTACTATCTGCACTACTAATCTGCATAAATAAATGCAACTTTACGACATATAAACTGTAACGACTCTAGAGCCACATCAGCCCGTTTATTATAATGTGTTTAATTCAGTTTTGCGCAACTCTCACAGAAACGAAACTTAAAACCGCATCACTAATTTGCATAAACTAAGCGAAGATAAAAACTACAGCTCTTGTGTCGCTGATGCGGTCAACTGTCGGATTAAAAGACGTGACTCAGTGGAATACAGGTTAGTGTGACCATATTTGCGTTTGTCAAAACCCGGACACCGTACGGGGGGAGGGAGGTGGGGACTCGTCATCGACATTGAGCTACTCTCACCTGGTAAAGCTTTTTCACACTGGACACCGAAACATATGTGCTGCTTTGTACACTGTGCACATGGACTCACACTCCCGACCAGAACGGAAAGTGTGGAATTTCTTGTACAAGTCATCGTTAAATACGCATATGCACTTCGGCACGTTGCAGGCGGACTGACTGTTTCTGTTGTCTCGCTCCTTCTGAGTGTAGAGAGACACATGTACGGACCCCTGTTTGGTCATGCTACGCACAGCAACCTGCATTCGGTTTGTCGATTAAAATTTACGTAATCGTTGAAATTCTTAATGATCAATTATCGATTAATCGACTAATCATGCCCATCCCTAATATGTACATGTACATATATTTGGGACCTGGTGCTCAAAAGGAATAGGATGAAGTTTAAAAACCTTATAGTGTCCTACCCCAATTGTTTTACATAATCATAATCACGTGGTTGACACTATTTTTTTTTTTAAACACCTTTGGAATGCTTACCTGTCGTTTGCATTGCATAAATATACACACATATATACACATACGCATAACACACATATACATACACGCAGAAATATATTTTCATTTATGGTCATACAAAGTAATAATAATATTAAAGTAGGCACAAAGTTTATAATTTAATAATATTTATCATTTAATAAACAGTAATGAGAATAAAAAATGTAAGGATTTTTTGTTTTCGTTTATGGTCGTACAAAGTAATAACACTGATGAAGAAGCACTGAAGTTTATTGTTTATAAATGTATAAGGTATAACATGTAAGGATTTTGGGTTTTTTTTTTATACTTTTTTTATACTTACAAACTATTAATAATGATAACTTCACAGAAGTTTATTGTTTATTGTGCAAAATAAACCACAACGAGAATGAAAAAATTTTCCTTGTTTCTGGTCGAACAAACTAATAGTAATGATAAAGAGGGCACAAAATGTACCGTTTATGACGTATCAAGATAAAAATGTTAAAGAAAAGCATGTGTTTAGTTAATAGTCATGGTTTGGACAATGTATGTAGTCTTTTAGGTATTGCTGTAAGATTAGATTTTTGTATTGTTTTTTGAGTACATGACTAATCTGCATTCTCCACGGTGAACAAATTACATTGGCACTTTAGTTATGTCAAACTTCTGCTTCATCAATTAAAGCAAGATGACGTTATTTCAGTGACTTCTTTTCACATCTGAGCTTTGTTGGATAAGCAGCATAATCTACGTCATGAATAATACCTGGAGAGTGTTTATATTTATTATAAGATAATTATTTGGTACAGAGCAGCATTATGAGTATTAAGTATACTGAATGCCCCTAGTTTAGTTTTACTCCTGGTTTTGGCCGTAGGTACTGTGGTGTATGGAGAGCCCATCACTGCCAGCCTGGGCACAGACGGCTCTCACTACTGGAGCAAGAACTGGGCCAAAGCCGCTGCCTTCGTTACCTCTCCTCCTCTGAGCCCCGACCCCACCACGCCCGACTATCTCAACTCACTGCTCTCCTGGTACCTAAACCATACACAAATACTACAGTGTACGTGTCCTGATAGTGATACTGATGTGTGCTGTGCTCTAGTGGAGACCTGCAGGTGACTGGAAGCGCACACTGTCCCTTTGACACGGCTCAGCGTGCCGTGGGCAAAGACGACTTCACCCTCATCCCAGAAGGAGTCAACGGCACCGAGGAGAGGATGTCCATCATCTGGGACAAGTGTGTGGTACGGACCTCTTCTCATTATACTTTTACAATGAACAGTTCTGTAGCATCTCACTAGAACTTTTTTCTGCTGTTAATTTTGAAAACCTGCTTGAATTTAGGTTTTGTCGTAGTCTTTTAATGAAAATGACTTAGTTTCAGTAAAAAAAAAAAAAAGAAGATGCTGAACTGTCAAACAATCCATAATAAATGTAGTTAATATGGACGGCTATAGCTAAAGGAACAACATTTCCAAGGAAACAAGCATGAGGTGGCCAAAAAAGAGTCAGGTTTGTGGAGCAAGCCCATGCACAGTATGGACACGTTTTCTGTTGTTTTTTTTAGTGCAGTAAAAACAACCAATATTAAATACATCTCCTTTAGTCTACTTACTTTACATTACTTCATGTTACATGTACTCACCTTGCTGAGTTTGTAGATGGTCTGGTTTGAGGATCTGGGATTGAAACGTGGAATTTAAATCTAATCTCAGCTCATCCCTTGTTCTCTTAGATCAAGGGTCTCCAACCTTTTTTTTTCTGGTGAGCTACACTTTACAAAATAAAAATGCCAAAGAGCTACTTATTTTAAAGACGTTGTAAGAAATGGAGTAAATATATGAGTCACAGCCTTAGATTGGGGACAGTTAGTGCACAAAACTGGGCATTAAAATGGTAGATTTACAATGGTAATTAATCAGGACAACACGTATAATTTAGAAATCCCTTTGCGAGCTACTTGGAATGGGGTGGAGAGCTACTGGGAGCTCCCGAGCTACAGGTTGGAGACCCCTGCCTTATATTAAGATTTGTTTAGTTTTCATTCATTCAGTCAGGACTAAACAAGGGGAGTCAGTGTTTCAGGTTCATGCAGCTAAAACCTGGAACAGTCTTCCTGAACATGTGAGACAGACTCTTCTGTGACGCTGTTTAAATCCAGGCTTAAAACATTTCTGTTTGACTGTGCATATAACTGAAAGGTTTTCATTCCGCACTCTTCTCTCCAATTTATGTCTCTCTTTTTTTTTTTTTTAATCTTCATGATTATTTATGTTTTGATTTGTTTTTATTATGATTTTAATGTATTTCTTATTCTGTAAAGCACTTTGAATTACTTTGTGTACGAATTGTGCTATACAAATAAACTTGCCTTGCCTTGCCATTAGTCAACAAAATGTCTGTACCTTAAGTTGTATTCATCAGTGATTACTTTTAGTGTAGTTTTTAAAATTTTATTTTTCAAAACTATGATAATGACAAAAACTGTGGTGGTATACTTTATTCTAGTTGACAAAATGAACACTACTTTAAACTGTCATCTTCTTCAGGTTACAGGTAAAATGGATGAGAACCAGTTTGTGGCTGTGACGAGCACCAACGCCGCCAAGATCTTTAACCTGTACCCCCGAAAAGGACGCATCGCTGTGGGCTCCGACGCAGACCTGGTGCTCTGGGACCCCGACGTCACCAAGATCATCTCTGCGAAGAGCCACAACTCGGTAACTCACTCGTGTTTATGCTTCACGTAGGCCTCTGTGGTTATGTCAGTGCATTGTACTTGTTGTCAGGAGAAGTATGTGTCTGTGGTTGCGTTAGAAGAACTCAGGATTTGTGTGTTAAACATGCGTGAATGAAGCAAAACAGAACTCTGGTGCTCTGGTGTTGATGAGAAAACAACATTAAAACATAGATCAGAAAACGGTGTAATATGGGCCCTTTAAAGGCAAGTGGTCAAACATGGAGGCGAGACACTTTTCCCACTTCGACTAGTATAAATGTGCTGTGATTGATGGTGGTGGGAGGGCAGCCATACTTCCATCAGAGGCTGTAGAAGAAGACGTGAGTGGAGCGTGAATGAATAATAAAGCTCTGCTGAATGTTATTACTATATAATTCTAATAGTGTTGTTGTCATTACATTTACACAACACCCACTTGGAATTTCAAACAACTTTGTGTAAACACAATCTCTTTCATATTTAGAATGGAATATGCAGAATCTTGAGCGAGACATTTCACTCACCAGTGAAATGTCTTGCTCAAAGACCCAAGGGCAGTAAACATAGCGAGTAGTTGGGATCAAATATCACACTCTGAGTAAACTCTGAGCTTATACTTGTTTTTAACAATCTTATTTCCAAAAGTAATAGGGCTGGTTTATTGCTGTTTATTAGGGGATTCATCAATGTGACGCTGGTATCGAATATATCAGAACATTATATTACTGTATTTTCCGCATTATAGGGCACACTTAAAAGCCTTTTAATTTAATCAAAAACCACTGCGTGCCTTATAATCCAGAGTGTCTTATATATGAATTTATTGAGGTGTCTTAGTATGACTTTAGTAAACTACAAAGCCGCACCACTTGCACCATTACGGCTCCTGTAGTCAGGAGCATCAGGAGTAAGACATACTGTGATTCCTTTTAATATCAAAATGCACCTGTCACAGAGAGACATGCTTACAACGCCAACTTTAAACTATTATAAAGTGAAAGTGCGAGCTGCGTGGGAGCAGTGGATGAGAGAAGGAGAACACACATTCACCAAGACAGAGAGACAGCGCGTCTTACCCCACGATCTGCCAATGGATGGACGTCTGGGCTAAGGATCAGTATCAGCTGTGGTCCGAGCTTTCACCAAGACCTGAATCATCACTAAACTGCCAGAGAACAGTAACCACACTGACTCGGATAATGACGAGGGGGATGTGGACGTGCTGGACGCCGAAATCACCAACTGTTTGAACAATTATGAGTTATTGTGAATACGCGAACAATTTAGCGTCTCAGACAGTATTTTTTTAAATCTGTTACAATTGAACAAAGTTGAGAGTTATTGTGAACGCGTTAAATAAAGTTTGACTGACTTATCTAACTGTTGTGTTTCGTTTAATGCGCCTTATAGTCCGGTGCTGTTTAAATGTGAAGAAAGTTCAAAAATAGACCATTCAAAGGTTCAATAATCCAGAGCGCCCTATAGTGCAGAAAATACGGTATTTTGTGATTACAGCGATACAGTATTTTATGAGCGTTTAAAAAAAATAAATTATGAAACCTTCTTTAACTTATATGAATGATGAACTAAGGTTTCATACGGGTACATTACATATATATGAACATTTTGATGGATGGCACATCGGTACAGTCTATATCATTTGTCGATATCCTGTTTTGTTTTTATTCATTTTGACCAGAATTGTTCTGTAGTTACAGTTAAGTGAGTTAGTTAAATGATAAATAACAGTTACAAAACACATGTGGGAAAGGAAATAAATTATGTTTTTAATATCGGTTGATTTTGGACAAAATATTGGTAATATTGGTATTGATATCAGAACAGAAAAAGATGGATTGGAGCCTCTGTACTATTTATTCATAGGAGATGTTACATTGTTATAAGTTAAGTTGTGTTTCTGCCATCACATCTGAGTTAGCTCACAAAAGCCTCGTACAAATGAAGAGATGTGCTAAGGTCACGGTGGACGGTGTGTTTATATTTGGGGTCCACATTTGTGCATGTTGAGCTGTTTCTGTGTCTGCTGCTGTTTTGTCTGTGGAGCTCGAACAGTCACAGTGATCTCATCTGTGAAACGCTCCAGAGAGCCACAAATCAAACGCCAGAGTTCATCCAGACCCAGTCCAAGTGTTATGAAGCAGCCGTGTTCTCGCGCTGCTGCTGATGGAGAATATTATTGGGGAAAGTTCTTAAGTGGAGAGTGAGTGTCCAGTGCTGTTTCTGACCACATGAGCTCAGCCTGTGCTCCAGAGGTTTTATTAAGAGCTCTGACTGTGGTTAGGAGACTGTCTGAACACACCCACTGAGTTTAAACGGATTTTCTACTATTTTTCATGTACTTATAAGTCTTGAGTTGTAAAGTTTCAGAGGTAGTGGACAATGTTTTTGATAATGGTCTTGTATTATTTATTATTTAGTCAGTAGTTTTAAACTACATTTTTCACCTTGGCTTGGTTCTTTCTTATTGTATAACCTCAAATAGTGTCACAAATATACCTCCAAGCCTTAGTTTTCATGAAATATCCAATATATACAAAATGTCAGCAGGGGCACAAGGCCTGGATCTGCTAGCACACTGAAGTTAAAGATTTGTATGACTGACTTTAAAAACGAGCAGCTTTATCTAATAGCTCATGTTGATGTGATGGGGAAGCATTAAGAATTAAAGGCTCTGTACCTGTTTTTTCCCAGGTATTTGAGTAAAATATATCTCACTCTAATACAGATATATTATATTATATACAAAATAAATCTGCTGTGTACTGTTCATGTCTATGTAGAAGCCATTTATTGTCCGATAATCAGGAAGTGTGCATTAATAAGTGTTAGCTTTATCATTATTGCAAATCTCAGCACTGGTCTCTGAGAGTTAAAAGCAGTTAAAATGAACTGGTTCTGTTTTTCACATTTTTAAAACTGTAAAAATCAGGTACAACGGATTAAATTGAATGACTATAGGACAATGTTTGGTAGAGCTCATACTTTTTATGACTGTGTCTTGTCAGCTTAAACATCCAGAAGCACCTGTCCATATGAAGCGTCTATGTGAAAGTGACTTGTTTATTGCTCTTGAGCTGGCCGGGCCTGTCAGTGGGGGGAGTGAGTGGTCATAAATGTGTCCAATTCCAGACGGCACATGTGCTCTGGAGGCTGACGTCATGTGAACACTCAACATACTGTTGTCTTATTGTCATGGCAACCACCACTGCTGGAAAACAACCAAAACATCAGAGTCTTTCATCACTTCATGTTTCTTCAAAGCAGAAAATGGACTTTTTCCAACAAGGCCATATGACACCACAAAAACAGATGACAGCAACTTGATTTGAGTGAAAATGTAGTTTCAATGCCAGTTATAGAATCATATTTACTGTCTGTATATTGACTCATTCAGAAAAAAAACATTCTCAAAGTTAAAGCTCATACTGTATGTAGCTTGTGCTCCTACTGTTTTAAAAAGGTACTACAATCCTTAACCTACAGATAGAAGACACATCCAAGTTTGTCTCAATCTCAGTATATGAACAGGCCAGGCCTCATGTGAAAGCTCAGAACCTCCAGAAGAAGCTCTATTCACGCTTTGGACACATGCAATGACAACTTCTGGTGTAGTTCCGACACTGGACTCACCATCCGACTGCGATAAAACCCACTGACGTAAATGTGATCAGTGGTAAAATGAAGACTGCATACATATGTGCTGTTTCGAATCATCTGGAATTTGGCCTCATCTCTTCTAATCACATGTACCCAGTGCAGTCGGAGTTGTGCGTCAGTGGGGAAATGATGAAAACTGAGGTATGGTTGTAATTGTTGATTAGCCGAACATAATGGAACACTACAATGACATGGAGATGAAGAAAACTGGGGCATTTTCTCTTTTTTCAAGATTTTGTCAAACTTACTGCCGCGAAAAGAACCCCCCAGAAGTTGTCATCGCATGTTTCCAAACGTCTTTCTGGTTTGTGATGTAAACGTGTATAGAGCATATTTCCTCACTAAACTGCAAAGGCTGCACTAGCGCTGGTTCATGTTTGCTGTAGGTGCTGGCATTTAGGTAGAGCCCATTCAAATCAGAGAGACATTTTAAGGTTATACCAACTGGATTTCAGCATTGAAATTGGCAACTCAAATGAGAGAGTCCTGTGAAGCTCATTCTGCTTTCTGATTGGATAATTGTCTGGAGTTTAGATTCAGATTATGCGCTTAGTTCTGACCGTCACTCTTGTCTTTTCTGTGCAGACTGTGGAGTACAACATCTTCGAGGGCACAGAGGTGCGTGGGGGCCCCCTGGTGGTCATCAGTCAGGGTAAGATCGTCCTGGAGGAGGGGACTCTCCACGTGACGGAGGGCTCTGGGCGCTTCATTCCCCGCAAACCCTTCCCCGACTACGTGTACAAGAGGATCAAGGCTCGCAGCAGGGTACGCAACTGTACACTCCTCTGTCTGATACAGAACAGGTCGACATTAACAGCTTTCTACAGTCTACTCCGGGATCAATACACTTAGGGGTTTGTGATCAGGGCAGTCCTTTGTGATGTCAAATTAAAGTTGCACTGTGAAAGCTTTCAGCTGGAGGATACGCCAGCGGTCTGTGTTTATGGAGATGGTATTGGACTGTCTGGATAGTTTCACAATATGCCATTAACAGGGTAGCTGCAGGGTCCTAAAAGTCTTAATAAGGTCTTAAATTTCATGTTCCAAAATTAAGGCCATATTATGTTGTCCAAGTCTTATTTTTTTCACAAAGGTCTTCAATTTCATTAGCCTATTATTTATTTATTTATTTTGTATAACTAACCGGGCTGCAGTGCAATGTTAAATGGAGGGACGGGGGAAAAATCAACGTGAACTCATGTAACGCGAATAAACGTGTAATTTGGAGTATGCACAAACAATACTTTGGTTTATGGCACCGGCAGCAATGAGTAAACAATCAGTAGAGTGGAGGAAGTCCTTGGATGGATCATGTGGAAGTGTTGATTTAATCCACAGTGGCTCTTAGATTCTAGATATAGTTAGTACCAGTAGTCGGTTGTCATTATTAGAATTGGATCTGGTGTTTTTCACTCGCATAACGAGTGCGATGTTGGTCTTAATTTTCAGTAGTGGTCTAAAAAAGGTCTTTAAAAAAGTCTTAAATTTTGGGTAGTCACACCTACGCTGATTAAATTGTCTAGCATTTATTTAATTGTGTTTTTATTGCTCAAAAATACCTTGAGAAATGTGAATTGTTGCTGTGAGCTGGTTCGCCTCTCCATAGATCTGACCTTTTGTAACTTCGGGGGCAATACCTATTGGAGACAAGCAAGTGGCATAGGCTCTACCCTTTAACAGAAAAGTTGCATAGTGCTCCTTTAAAATGAATTGTTCATTTAGAAATATACTATAGGAATTATAATTTAAGATGACTGAACACTCAGCTCAGGAAGGGCTCTATTTGAACTGGTGCAAATGGCTTCATCTCCACTGGGGGTTATTCGTGGCTTTCAGCTTCCTGTTCTAGGTGACATTTTGCTGACATTCCACCATTCAAAAGATATAATATTCTGTTTTGAATTGTTAATTGTTATGGTAATGGTCTCAACGTCTCATTATTCTGAAAGCCATGGGTAGCTACAAAACATGCTAAGCCTGACCATAAAGGCACAGGGTTCCTCGTGTTGGTTCCTCTTGTGTGAACAGGACAGTGCCATAGTGGAATTAAAGAGAGAATTTTGGACATAGGACCTCATTTCCTAGTTAGCCAAATCATCTGAGGCAAATCTATTATTACACCAGACTGTCCATGTAAATGTCTGTGTTGACAGAATCATTTTTGAAGTAAAACCAACCTTGCATTTGAAGGATTTCTATCTGAGCAGAAGCAGTGAGTTGTACTTTCTGATAGAAAGTTTGACAGCGGCGGACTGATATATGAGAAAATAGTCCCTCAACGTGCAACGATTCATGCGGTGCAAGGTTAGTTTTATTTCAAACATTATTCTATCAACACAGACATTTACATGGACCGTCTAGTGTAATAACAGATTTGTTTCAGGTGTTTTGTGGAGTGGGTAAGACTGTTTTTATTGGCAGGAGAACTATGACCATTGACATGCACTAGTCTAACACCAGTGACCTCTGCAAATACAAGGACTGGATGGAATATTTTAAAAAGTGTCTCCACATGTCTCCAACACTCTGGCTCATTAGGAAATGAGCTCCTATGTCCAAAATTCCAGACTGTCCCTTTAAAGCCATTTGAAAATGTTTGTACCATGTTCTAATGTTACTGTTCAAAAACATGCCTGAAGAAGTCTGTAATCAAGTGATCTCTCTTGGACCCTTTTGCAGCCCTCTGACGGTTAGCTCTATGATCCTGTACAAAGCTCCGCCCACAAGCCTACATCACCCATGTTCCCATCTGGCAATTTTCCATAAATGTACAAAAGCAGGAAAACCAGACATTACAACGAGACAAACCTGATGCGATGTGCAGTGGTTTTATTAGCACATTGACACTGATAGTGCTGTGATAGCACTTGCAACGGGGAATGACTTAGCACGGGGAGGGGACTCAGAGTGTCAAAAACAAAAGTGAAGCTTATAAAACATGTTAATACATTGTTTTCACTGATTTGAGCATTTTCAAAACAATAAAAAGTACCATTGTGATCTAAATATGTTGCGTGTTAGCAGTTAATAGCCCATAGAAGCGTAACACCGCCTCTTTACACACTCACATGTTGGGGACGTACAGTAGTACACTGTAATCAGGCTGTGTAAACATGAACACTAACCCCTGGTCCCTCTGCTGCAGCTGGCTGAGCTGAGGGGCGTGCCCAGAGGACTGTACGACGGACCAGTGTGTGACGTAACCGTGACTCCAAAGGTCATGACCCCTGTGTCCTCCACCAAGACGTCGCCCGCCAAACAACCAAACCAGCCCATGCGCAATCTGCACCAATCCGGCTTCAGCCTGTCCGGTGAGTGCCACTTCTCCATCTCAGGAAACGTTCCTTTGAATATGGATGAACATGGATGATGTGGTGCAGACTGTTGGAAAACTCTGTGGTTTTATGTGTAAAGTCATGAAGACCAGGAGTGGAAAGTAAAAAGTACTCACATTATTGTAATTCAATAGATTTTTAGGATTCTTTTTTGTGTTTTAAACGTGGACTGGTATTTGTAATTGAGTATAATTCTACTAATTGTAATAAGTTAGGTTTAAAATGGTATGAGTGCAGCCAGGGCTCAGGAAATATGCAGATTGTGGTTTTAAACAACTACATTCAGCTAAAAATCTGTTGAAAAGTAACTGACTGAGTAGTACTTTTCATGTGTACTTTTTATTTTTAAGTACAATTTTGGAAGCAGTACTTGTATTTGTAAATGAGTACATTTTTAGCCATGTAACTGTACTTTTACTTGAGTACAAATTTACACTCTACTCTTTCCACCACTGATTAAGATTAAGCACATTTTTACACTACATACAGAACAAAAATAATCAAACAGTAAAGACATACTTTGCCCATATATTTTTTTTATTTAAAAAGTACATTCAATACATGTCTTTGTCCTCGTAAAATAGAAACTGCAGATTTTTAAAATGAAATCCAGGTTAAGGCAAAGTTAGTGCACATCTTTTACTCTAAGTAGAGAAATGCACGTATACTCACAGTGTTTTAAAACCTATTATGAAAAAGCTACACACTTTAAATTGTGAAAAGCCCAAAAAGTGCCTTTTGACATTAGTGTAAATGAATCTAGTTCCTGCTCTGTCCTTAAACACTCTAAATAAAATACTGGATCTTGACTTCTGACCTCTCATTTTGTCACAGGGGCCCAGATCGACGACAACGTCCCGCGCCGCAACACGTCTCGCATTGTGGCGCCACCAGGGGGCAGGGCTAACATCACCACCCTGGGTTAGACCGCTCACTCAGCGCTGAGGAGGGGACAGCGCGCTCAAGATGGCCGACGAGATCTTAGAATCCCAACACTAACCTCTGGAGGGGTCTGAACCCGTCCTCCGTGCAGACCTGTCCATCCCGCGGTCCGCCTCCTAAACTCCAGTGCCATCTCTACGTGTTCCCATTCTCCGCAGCCCAACCTCCGCCTGAAAGGACACAGTTCAACACAAAAGAAACAAGCGTCGGCCTCGTGATGACAAAACACAAAACTCTTATTTGAGCACTTTTGACTTTGTTTTTTTATACACTTTCCATGAATGAGTTGAGTTGTGTTGTTCTGACAGCAGGATCAGAATGTTAACTAAAGGCATCCACCTTTTCATTATTTTGGGAGTAGCATTTGTACATAAAGAGCAAGTTTCGTTTTTCCCAAGGTTTAGCTTTTTCCTTTTATTTAACAAAAACTCTGAACCTCCTTTGTGCTTTTTATTTAATTGAGCTACATTTCCTGCAGTTTTATTTTGTAACAAACACAGCAAACTTCCACTTTCTTAATGATACAGGATTTAAAAAAAAAAAAAAAAAAAAAAAAAAAGGGACACATTTCCATCAGACTTATGTTAAGAAAGGAATTTGGAAGCAAGAACAGGATAAATTGTAGGAAAAAAAAGTGAAATAACAACATGAATAACATTTTAAATTGATTTTAAATAGTGTTGTGTGTAGAGCTCAGGTTAGCTGTCCCAATGAATAAAAAGAATCCTTGTTTGATTAAGACTGATGACATGTGTGAATCTTAATTTGTGCTTTTGAAAATCTTGATGCATTGACAGACTTAACACTTTTCGTTTGTGGTTTTCAATCTTTCTTTTCCAGTGCTAATTGCCAGCTTTGCCTCCTCCAGCTGGTTCAATAAAAGCACGGTTATAAACAGGTCTAAATCCGGTACACTTAGAACTTCTGGCCTTACTGCACACTCACCTCTGTTTAGTTTAGAAAGAACCAAACATTTACACTTGTACATTTTTATTCACATCCACATTGTTTCTACTCATGGCAATCCTTTTCTCCTTTCTGCTCTTTACGTGCCTGAACCTGTACTTACTTAGCTAGTCTATTGTTTCTAATTATTGAAGCAAAGTGAAGGATGTATTATAAAAAGGTTGTGAAATAGCCAGGATTAACCGATTCAAAGGTGCCAGATTTTGCTTTTGAACAGGCTCTGTGTTTAGAGCCGTGGTATATTGAAGTGTGTACTTTTTACCTTGTTGTTGACCTGCTTCAGTGTGTATCTAGGAGCCTCGAAGGGCTGAGCACTATTCATTGTTTCGCTTTAAAGTACTGTAGACTGGAGCTGATGTGTCGCTGGTAGTGGGCAGTGTGGTTGTTGTGTGAGCTATGGGATGTGGATATAGGACTCATTTTTAAAAAGTTAGAAATTGAAATGTCAAAAATTTTAACTATACTAAATTTGACAGCTACTTAGTGGAAATGCATACCAGAAGAATGTTCATCTAGGTCAAGCATGTCCAAACTATGGCCCGTGGGCCAAATGCAGCCCTCAGACAAATTTTTCTTGGTCCTCAGGCTTCCAGGTGAATTGGCCCAAATTACCTTGCATCAATGAAAAATTTACTTTTTACTGCAAGTTTATTGAAAATCTGCCTTGATAAAGCGAATATTTAAGATTTAGTGTGTGGTTTTCAGGATCTTAGCATGAATAACGACTGATGGCTCATTCTAACATGTTAAACATGCACATATTTCAATTATTCACTGTACTGAGCACCAGTCTATGGCCCTCGATCAGCCCTCTGCTTGGTCTGTGTTTAGATATGTGGCCCTTGATTAAAAAAGTTTGGACACCCCTGGTCTACGTAGACTGATGTAGAGTATGCAGATGTGCCACTGTGCTGTCACTTTTACAAATTGCCAAAGTATGAAAAAAAAAAAAAAAAAACTTTCTGTGACTGCTCATATATGTAATAAACAGAGTGCACTCTCAGTCCAACAACAGCACAGACCCACAGGCTTCTGGGAATTTCATCTGGGCCGTAGCACAAACAGGTTACATCAGAAAATGTACTCATTGGCAGATTTTCGGAACTGTACATTTGATAAATTAGTCAAAATAATTCACTAAATAAGGTAACCGTTTGGTTCATTGTGCAGCATCCTAATGGAGTTTGACTGGTCACATCAGACTCCTTGGTCCCTTTATCTGGAAGATCCAGGCATAGCATATTTCCCATTGTTTCCCCATGACCTTCCAGACTCGTCATAATAACAAAAGTAGGGCTTCATTTCTCCATGTAAATCAATCGAGACAATGTGCAGATGTAATATCCAGAATTGAGTGTTGACACAGCAGACCCCCATCTACCAAAATATATCCCTCCATGGTCTACACTCGTCCATTGCTCTGAATGCTATTCTCTGCTGTTATGCTAATGATAAACAAGTGAAGTGTATGTATGCTGCTGCTGGCTGCAGACTGAGAGGAGCTTTATCTATCCTTTGTGAGACTTCGTAAACCCTGTGATGGTATTGTCCTGATGGCTTTGGGCTTTTCTGGGGGGGGGTATGTTTGCTCACTATGGTATAAATGTCAGATACTTTGAATGACAATGTAAAGACAAAACAAGGACTGCAAAGAATTAAAAAAAACATGGGAAAAAAAAAAAAGAAATTTGCGTCTTTATTTCCTGCTTGTATTAAACTATAATCTATATAGGTAATGTTTTAAAAAGCCAAAACACAACAAGTCTGTACAATGATTCCTTTTATTGCCTTTATTGAGTTTAGACCTGATGATCTTACTTCAACTTACTTTTGGTTTTGATTCCAAATTCAAACTCCAAATTGACATGTGTATCCTGTAGATTGAACATGAGGGTTATTTAGAAGAAAAATGTTATGGTCAAATAACACATTTATGAAAAAACATTCAAAGTAACTGAACTGAATCAATAAATTATGCTAACTACAACATATCATTTGAACAGGAGTGGATTTACAAAATGAATCCAAATATTGCATTAACACTATATAAAATGCTGTTGTAACATTCAAAAGTTGGAAAGTAGTGATCATTTGTCTTAAATCAGAGGCCAATTCTTCTTTGTATTAATGTGCAAGGTTTCCAAATAAGATGCTACATCAGTCTCCTGACTATCTTTAAAAAGAATATGAAGTGAATTAACCTGAGGGCTCAAACTTTACCCAGGCAAGTTGATCTAGAAGTGGTGGTCAAGATGATGATTCAGAAAATCTTATGGACATCTCTTCTATGAAAGTGGGGCATTAGTCTCATGTACCATTATAGGCTGGTTTGGGCCTTTATTAGCTTCAGATTCCAAATTTGCACCAATTAATGCTCTTCCTAAACAGGCAAACATGTTACTTCCCATTAATGACACACCACAAACAGGTTTATTTAAAAGAATTTATTTACTCAGAGCCACTGTGAAACAGTAAATATAAAGAAATGAGAAATTAGCTTTAAATCCGAACACTTTTGACTTATGAGCTCCAAATAAAGAACTACATTTTAAAAGTACATGTTAAGTGAACTAGATTGAAAAAGTGTATTTGAGTAAATTATCCGCAAACAAAATGACAAACTGCACAAGCCCAAAGTTTTCTCTAACTAACGCAGCAGAAGTATCAAGATTTGAGTAATGCTAGAATGGATTGACTGGAGGACCACTGTCTGCTGGTCCTGGTGCGGGACACAGCTAACGCTCGATCCGCCGTGTGTCAAATAGGAAGTTCGCCAGGAGGCTCTTCCAGCTCCCCCTGACCCTGGCTCCAACTGACTCCTCCTCCTCTCTCTCTACCTGCTGCACTGAGCCTCATCATTTTGGTCTTAAAATGTCTGTATTAAAACGCGACACACGACCCTGAATTTGTTGTTCACTATTTTGTCAGTCAAAAAAATCCTTTTCATAACATAGAGCCTGGCTTCAGATTCACTCATCTAACAGTTAACATCGCGAGCCTCGTTTGAGCGGCGCTGAACGCTGTGGGTGACGTCACACTCTCTTAGTCCTCTTCTTTTATACAGTCTATGATTCTAACATTTTTAACAATCTAATAATTCAAACATAATTTTACACATGCATGAGATAAGACTGAAGACAGAGCTTACTAATAACATCAGCTCTAGCTGTGATCACAGTTCTATTCTCACACACAGGTTGCACTAGCAGTGCTAAAATGACTGGCCTAAATTCTGACTAAACCCAGCAGATCAGAGCCTCTCCAGCTGTTCCATCTTAGCATCCTCAGTAAAGAACCTACTGGAGCTTGTTTACCTCCTGGTCCCATTTCTCCAGGAGGTCCTGCAGGTTGAGGTTAAACACATCGATCCCTTTAGGACTGAGGTGCACTCCATCAGCGCGGTACAGACCCGTGTTGGCGCCACACCGGATGTTATCGTGCGATAAGGACACGCCCCCTAGCTCTGTGACCACACTGTGAATGCGTCGGTTCACTGTGGTGCGCACCAGGTCCACCTCCTGACTGTCGCTGGAATGTCTCCAAACACGACGCGGCAAGATGTGGGACCAGACCAGAAGACAGTGCGGAAAGATGCTCCTGATGGAAGCTAAATCTCTGCGCACGGCCGTCAGAAGGTCTGTGGGGCTGTCGTTAAGGTCGTTACCCCCCAGGTGGACGATGAGCACGTCGGGGTTGGGCCACAGTACTTTGAGCTGATGCAGTTGGGGCAGCAGCTGTGACCAGGTCATGCCCTGGGTGCCCCTCCACCAAAGGGTGACATGGCTGGGGTCCATACCCAGCTGCATGCCCACCTCTGGGGATTTAGCTCGGGACTCAGCCCAGTAAATCAATGAGTGTCCACAGATCCACACGTTCCTCTGCTCCACACTCTGTGGCTTTGCTGAAACACAAACCGAAAATAGAAAGTCAAACTACTGTTTAACACATTTCTAACATTTCACAGTCATAGTTCAGACTCATACTTTACAGTATTATACCGCAGTATCTGCCATCATATACAAAACATACTGACGGCAAATTCTGAAAATCAGAGTATAAAACAAAAGGTGATATCTGAGAACCTGCGCAAAATTAGCTTTACATGACATTAAAAGTGTCTTGGATATACAGATTCTATAAATACAGACAGAAAAGATAAGCATCTTCTAATGTGTTTCAGAATCAACTTTTTGATTTCAACCCTGGATTCATCACGGCATGATTTTAACAGACAACGTAATGCACTTCTACAGATGTTACGTTCTACTTATCATGTGTAACATGTACACCGCGATTCTTAAAAATGAGAAATGACTAATGTCTGAACTTCTCAAGTGTCTTTTCAAACTGTTGTAGAAAATTAGCATAGTAAAAACACACTTTATAAAATAGTTTTGAAACAGCCGACCTTCTAGCTACGTATTACAGGTTGGTGGATGTGATAGAAAAAGCAAGAAAGCTCAACACACTGTTGCTCTTTGTTTTTAGCAGTGAGTACGCTTACATGGCCACAAACAGATGACCTAATATTAAACTGTCTTGTTTACAAGCCCAAGAGAAATCTGATCATCAACCTGGTTTCAGCTCATTACAGGGTTATAACACTGCCTGCCTTGGGGCAGACTGATAGATGTGGGCTTCCAATCTGTGCCATTGGCCCCTTCGACCACCAACACTCATGTGCACACCGTCTTCATACCAAGCAGTTTCTTGCCTATGGACACAACAGAACTTTGTCCAAAGTACACTGAGAGTTAGTGCAAAAGTAAATTTGTCTCAGTAAAATAATCATTTGATTAATGATCAGTTTTTCCTGTGCATAGAAACATGATGAGAAGAGTTTATGAAACGAGAGATAGTTCTGTGCTGACTTTTTGAAGGTATTCAGTCTGAATCCCTCCACTAATCTTTGTGCTCCTGCTAAAAAGCATTACTGGGACATGTACACAAACATTTCTGTGAAGATTTTTAACATCACCTACCTTTCCAGCAACGTGCCAAATTGAAACTTTTGAAAATAAAAACAATACCTTGGCCAAACAGCAACATTTCTGGTTACAGAAATGTAACCAGAAATGTATTTCTAAGAAAAACATTTACATGTTATAATTAGAAAACGTAACTCCAACTTGTTCAGTTTTAAGAGGTAATAAGCTTGTGTTTAAGCTTCTCCATCTTGACCTCTACATGTAGCAACTAAATAGATCTTTACTTTTTCTCCTTCATTCCTTATCTAAGCTGCACTTTGTTCATAGACTTTCCTAAACTCAGTTACAACAGAAGGAAAAACTCTGGACAAACCTGTGAAAAATCCCACTTGACAATTCAGCGCAGTAACAAATACGAATGAGAAAAGACGTTTTAAAAAACGCAGCCTACAAGTCCTAACTGTGGATCCCAAATGGGCTACCGGCAAACCTTCAAAATAACAACTCATTAGTTACAAGTAAACATCACACAAACATGTATGTTATATCCTTATTACCGTGGTTAACATTAGCTTCCTGGGATATGCTTTATGTAGTCAAATGGAAGAACGCCTAAGAGAAATATCCTTACACTAACAAAGAAATGCATATTAGCCAAATAAATATAGATTTTTAAGTGAGTTTTGCAAACGCAATAGACACTTAACCACATAAACATCTTGCCTGGCCAGCCAGACCATTCTGCAATGTTCTTGCCACTACTGTTAAAAGGAAATATAAGTGAGCTAAAAAGATGAACAGATAGAGATACACGAGAGAACTATCTCTGTTCATGTTTTATAGTCTCTAGCAAGATATGACCAAACTGGCAGTGTTTTGTCAATGGCCAAATACAAATCAGCCACAGGATTCAGCAAACTCTAAAAGGTGAGGACAGAAAACTCTGGATTTAGTTCAACTGAACTAAGAATAAATATAAAGTCTGCTCTGAATGATACTAGTAAACAAAAGACAAGTATAATGCACTGACAAAAGCCACTGAGATGGGAATCTAAAAGCCTGTTTTGTTTTAAGGAGTAGGCTGGGCTGGCTGGCCAGGCAACTTGAGCTTTAAGCACTTGTGTGGATAATGCATTTCTAAAGCCCCGTTAGCAGGAGTTGACTCATGTACACATGTGCTGCTTTCATTTACCAGCTGTACTTCAGAGTTCTATTGTACGCACTTCAATTTTACACATGGAGAAAATGAAGAGTTACAGATGAGATGTGGCACTTTCCTGCTGTGGCGAGTGATGGACAGCCTCACAGGTCTGACTCGACTGGACGCCACAGACGGTACGCACGCTTTAGAAGAATTCTGATGAAAGCTTCAGTTCAACGAAAGCCACGTGATGTGTCACATAAAAAAACATGCCGAACATAAAAGCTAGCTACAATAACAGGCGGCCCTGCTGCAGAGTTATTTTTACATTTATATATACTAGCTATGCTACATACAAGCACTCGCATTATAATGTCAACTCAGAGAATGTAATAATGTAACTAAAGGCATCTTAAGACTGACTAAGTCATTACGAATAAATAAAAACTGAGCAGGTATCCATCCTACTTATTTCTGTAATGGACTGTGATGATTTATCTCGAGTCTCTACACCTGCCAAATCTAAACTAAACAAAACTGGCACATGCATGGCGTCGGTAGCGTTGTAACATGGATGTGACTTCTGACCTCTGTACCGCACCAGTACACAGCTTATTAAAACAGTGTTACCAATTGCAGGACTGGGTACTCATTTTTCTTCAAAGCATCAATTAAGATTGTAGCTCTTTATCCATGTACAGTACATCTTTTAGACTAGACTAGTGTTTCTCACACTTCAAAAGTTAAACTAAAAGTCTAAAAGCAGAGCTAAGCGATCTGACAAGAAAAACATATTACTTTTCACTTTTTTTTTTACAAATGGCTTTCAATGTCGCTTTCTTGAACAGTGATATTTGTCATTCACAACTATTAATGAAACAAATAAATAGTAACTGAAGATGCCTATAAATGTCAGGTATATGTTCAGACTACATTCCCGCTCTATATTAAACCCAACGTTTAGAATGCTGAGCTTAGAGAAGCAGAAGGCAGGTGACTGACAGGAGCATCCTCAGGGCTAAAAGCCTGTGGAACAGAGAGCCAGTTAGTACAACAGAGCTGCATGGAAAATGCTTTATACCTGGGACCACAGCTGTGCCGTCCTTATTCTTGTCTGGGGTTTTTCGAGACTCCAGATACTTCTTCTTGTCCAGCTCCCTCTTCTCCAGTATTCGCTGATTATACAGATCCAACTACACAAACAGAACACATGCAGAATTTTAATACATTTTGTAGAGAGGTGTACAATATTCTGTTACATTATTACCTCACTTTCATCCATAACAGTTATGAGTTGAGATACAAATCTCATATGTATAATGCATTAATAGATGTTTGTTACCAATACTACTACTACTACTACTAAAAGTATGTTTACCTTATGTTTAAAATATCTGGATTTAAGCACTGAAAATTAAAACCCAAATGACGCATATGTGAGGCTCATTCTACTTTCTGAATGGATAAATCTTAAGAATCGACTCCAAATAAATGGGCCATCAGGTCCAATGTTTGTAATTAAGAATAAATCTGCATTATAATTGTTATCAGTAATTTTGCAACATTTGATCTGAAAATATCTGTGGCACAGAGGTGAGGCTTACATACTGTTCATAAAAGTATTGCTCTGAGCTTTAAAATACTATAAGTATAACTTTGACCAGTTAGTTTCCAGAGTTTACAGCTATGCTCGTACCTTCTCCTTCTGCACACTCTTGATGTCCTCCTCACTCTCGATGACCTGGGTGCTGGACTCGGAGGGTAAATTGAACTGCACAGATTTGGCTGGTTTGGCTGGCGGCTGAGCCAGGGTCCTGACTGTCTCGATGACTTGGAGGCAGCGGGCTACAGTGGTGGAGATGGCTGGGTCGGTAGAACTTTGGCCGGGTGCCTGAGGGTTGTAGTGGTGGGTAGTAGTAACTATTAGAGCCAGTGATGTTCCATTTACTCCAGGAACAGTGTGTGGCATTGTATGTTATGAAACTGTATCCAAAACAAACACTGAAGCAGGAAATTAACCCATTATTTCTAAGATATTTGTACCATATTAAAATGTCCTAAACATACCAAAGTCAGTATTTGAAAAGCTTCCGATCCATTTCATCTACTGTTCATGGCTTCTTTTTTGTTTTAGTTGCTTTTGCAATGAGCTGATAACACATCTCCCAATAATAAAACTATAATATTCACTACTTAAGTCAGAGATGTTCACTTCTGTACATAATTGTATGGTGTGTGCGAGACCTGCCCCACGTGGTGATTTGACGTACCTGAGTAGCAGAAGGAGCACTCTGAGAAGTGGCCTGTCCAAGGAACGACAGTGTCGAAAGGAGAGGGGCCTGTCCAGCTTGCCGTTTGGGAGGGGGCCCGGGCGGAGGTCCTGGTGGGGCTTGGGATGCAGCACGTTTGGGTGGGGGTCCAGGAGGAGGTCCAGGAGGAGCTTTAGAAGCACTATCCAGATAAGATGCCTGGTTGTTGGAATTGGAAAAAGCTTGAGGAATATGGACATCCCAGCTGTCTGGGACCGGGGGGCGCTGGTACTGGGCAGGAGGGGGCCCTGGAGGTGGTCTGGGAGGTGGCGTGCCCTCACTGATGGAGCGTGTCAGACTTTGCATTTGTTGAGCTTTCTGCAGAGCTTCTAACTCCTGTTGGTCCAGAAAGCTTTCATATTCATTGACTGACTTCCGGACAGGTTCCAAACTCGCTGATCTGACTGGAGATGAAGAGTGAAGGCGTTCCATAGAACCTGTTCTGCTGGAGCCCGCTCGCTGGACCTCCCTCTCCAAAGAAGCTGACTTGGGAGCAGACGATATTATTCCAGCCTGTGTTCGGAGTTTGGTCATGTCATCTGAGGTGAATTTCAGCCCAATAGTTCGCAGAAGATTCTGGATCTTGTCATAGGGTTCTGTCTTCTCTGGCTCTTTGGGTGGAGGACTTGGTGGTTTGATGGGTTTTGGGGGTGAGATACTTCTGGTGGGTTTTACTTCAGGCAGTCCAAGGATTTGAGAGAAACCTGTGGCGCCTTCTTGTAGTGCTCTCTCATGTGGAAGCAACTCATCTTTGGGTGGGCTGACATATCTCTCTTGGGTAACCTTCTTCTTGTGAAGCATGTCAAGGAACCGATCTAATGGAGGCTTTTCAACTGGAGGCGGTGGGGACTGCTGTTTAGGAGGAGGGCTCTTCGGAGGAGAATCTTCTGGAGATGGTGGTCTGAAGGGAGGCCCGGAGGGAGTAAGGATCTCCTGTGGTACAGGACTGTGATCTAGAGGCGCTCTGCGGTAGGGATCGTCACAATAAAGTTGTCCCGGTCCTGGTGGTCCAGGTGGTCCTGGTGGTCCTGGTGGATATTTTGGATCAAGGTAGCGACTCTCAGGGGATGGGTTGTACACATCATAGCGGTCAGTGTAGCGCCTGGAAGGTTCACCATAAGGAGGCTCAGGGTAGAGTCTGTCCTCATAAGATGGCTCTCCATAGCGGCGGCGGTCATAGTACGGATCACCATACCTGTCTGCATAAGGATCTGCATAGCGCCGCTCCCTATACACATCGTATTCCCGGTCATAGTATGGGTCCCCATAAGGTTTGGGAGGGGGGTATTCTGGAGCCACTGGTTTGAACTCTTTCAGAGGAACAGCTCTCCTGCCATGCTCATAGTCAATGCAGGTCTTCCCTCCTTGCTCCATGACCCTGGGCTCCCTGATGCTGGGCTCCATGCCCCTGGGCTCCACCAAAGCCTTCTTGTATGCAATCATCTCATTGAGTTCTTCTAGTTCCCTTTTCTTCCGAGCCAGTTCGTCGTCCACGTGGCGTGGGGGTCGGGGACTTGACTCGCGCCTGCGCCTGTATTCCTCTCTCTCACGGCTGTAGGTGCTCCTTCTAGAATGTTCTCTGCTCTTGTCTCGACTTCTCTCTGGACTTCTGCTGCGACTCCTGCTGGAGCTGGAGCTCTTGGAGCGTTTCCGTGAGTGCTCTCTGCTACGGGAGCGCCTTCTGGATCTGTCTCTGCTCCTGGAGCGTTTTTTGGAGCGGTCTCGGCTGTGGCGATCTTTGCTAGAGCTGCGCTTTGACTTCACTCGTCCAAACTTATCCCTCTCTTGACTCTTGGACCTGGAGCGGTGGCGGCTGCTTGCAATGCGGCTCTTACTGTCCTGTGTTCTCAGGTTCTTTAGTTTTTCCTTAAGTTTTTCTGCCTCTGCCTTCTTTCTCCTAGGAAGATGTACACAAGAGAAGATGTAAACAAATTATGAAAAGGCTCAAGGTGGGGATATTACAAAGGAGGACATTTTAGAAACTCACTCTTCTTCAGAAGGCATGGACAGCTTGATGGTCATTGGCTATGAAGAACATAAATATTATTGTACTGTAATATAGTCCACTGCTGTGTTTTATCTAACCCTAAGAAGCCTCACCTTGGGCTTGTTGGCAGTGACTCCAGACAATTTCTTCACGGGGAGAAACATGCTTTCAGTGTAACGTTTAATCCGGATCGCCCTTTGCTCGCCTTCCAATGTTTCATGCTTGAAAAATGGAGAGTGCAAAACTTTTTAGATAGAACAAACATTTCTTCATAAAGTAAAGGAAACTATCAGAGAGTAGAGAAATCTTACCGGCACAATGCTAAATTCCACCTTTTCATTCAGCTCCAGTTTCTTCCTCTCAATGACCTCAGAGAAGTGGAAGTACAGCTGGGAGCTCTGGCTGCATTTGATCAAGCCCGAGTCTTCACAAAACTCAATCACAATGCCCTGGGTTGCACAAAGTCCTTTCAGAGTTAGACATGAGTAATTATAGAAAGACCCATGTTCTGTCAGTGTAGAGGTACTTACATTATGTCGTTCCTCTGCAGACTCCACAAATGAATCGCTGAGGATCTCTACGTAGGCCGCTCTTTCCTCTTTGGTCTCTTGTCGAGTTGCAATGTTAAAACGTACCTTTGCACAAATAGATATGTTGCTCTAAGATACTGTTACCACTGCACTATTTTTACTATGATTAATGTTAGAATGGCAAGTTGAGAGGAACTGTCTGCAGCAATTGGTCATTTGAATCAAAGTTTAGCAACAAAGTTTGGGACCAGGATTATGTTAAGGTGGTGAAAACGGTTTATAAACAAAACTGTCACTTTTGTACACCAAAAATATATTATAATATATATATATTTATATATATATATTATAATATATATATATTTTTATTACGTTTCGGCAAAAAACCTTCGTCAGATCATTTTGGGACCTTCCATTAGTTGGTGGGGATATGAGCACCTGGGCTGGCAACCATTTTGTATACTGTGGTCCAAAGCAAGAAAAATTACCTGACGAAGGCTTTTTTGCCGAAACATTATTTAAAGATAAATCCCTCTGGACCAGATTATCTAGCACTAACACTAACTACTACTGAAATCTTCAATCAAATATTAGTTTTCTATGGCTGACTATTGGCTCCAAACTGTTCTTTATAGCTGTGCAAAAGATACATGAGGGATTTAGTCTAGGGTTGTCCCGATCCGATCAAGTGATCAGAAATCGGCGCCGATCATGTGACTGCAGACTCGATCCGGACTCGGCCGTTATGGTCCGATCAGGTATTGGATTAATAATATATGTTTATAACACACAGGATACACAGGACACAACAGTTGATCTGAGGTGCGGGATTTGCTCAGGGACATCCAGTCAGCGCGACTGTCTGTCCCAGCGCCTGCTGTACTAGTGGCCCACTAGCGCTGGGACTTTTGGGCCGTGTCGTGCTCAGGCGCTGTTACCTGAGGTACTGTGGCCCCTGTTCACACTTGTGCGGCCGATGACGTCGTCACACAGAGCTGTTTGTTTGCATGTTGTGCAACGGAGGTGGCGCTTTTGGTGGGGAGGGTGGGAAAAGCGGCGTGAAGTGTCTATTGAGCGGTGGGACCAATGTTACGGTGTGCGCTTCACTGTGGGTTTGTGGATGTGGTGGTGGTGCGAGGGAGTGGGTGTGGTGCGGGGGGAGAGAGGCTGTGGGGCTTCTGTCATCTCATTTTTATTTGCTAAGATTTTGTATTATTTGGATTTCATAGACGAGCCTAAATGTTTCAAATGTAATGCACAGGCTTCCATATAATATCAAATATACAAAGTGTAGATCGTGCAGAGTCTAGTCTCAGGTCTGATCTGATTCTGGTCTGGTTCCCGTTTTGTCCAGTTCATTAAGTTTACTAAGTTACACATTCCAAGACCAGACTGTGAAAAGTCAAGATTTTCAACAATAACGGTGCATGGTAAAAGTTAATAAAATAAAATTTTTGGACATTTGATTTTTCACAAGTTCAGCCCAAATCCTACACATGAAATCAATACAATCTGATCCCCCACACATCCTGGATCTTACTCTTTGCTCTTAGTTTATTTCATAATTTTTATAGAAGTATCGGCTCAGGACTTGGAATTGGCAGATACTCAAAATCAAATGACTCGGAGGCAAAAAAAAATGTGATCAGGACATCCCTAATTTAATCTACACTAAGTTCTACATCATATTCTAATTCGTTTAATTGATTTTTTGCCTGGAATTACTATCTCGTAAAATGTAATTACAGATGCTTTACAAATGAATCATCTATTGTGAAACCATTTTGATTAAAGGCAAGTGTATGTCAAAACAATCTAGTCAAAACAAAAATCTACTCACTTTTATGAATAAATCCTAACTGCTTCTTAGAACAAGAAGATCTTACCTTGTCTCCGACCAGCATAGTGGCCCGTGTCAGTAGGTCTTTGCGTTCAAAAGAGAGTTTCTTCTGCTGTCCATCTACTGTCATCACCAGCAGCCCAATGTCCGGTCTCAACATCATATCCTCCTTTTTCTCCTCCTTCACCTCCTTCTCTTCATCTTTCTCTTGTTTAGTAGGCACATCCATTGGTTCCTCCTTCTCCACCTTGATTTTTACCTGTAGCATGCACACACATTGAGAACTGGAGGTGTTTCTTTTCTGCGTTCAGCTATTTGATTTTGTTTTGCTTTCAGAATCTTTATTTAAATACATTTTTAACTTAATTATTGACTTGAAATTAATTCAGGCAGATGCATACCTGGCCAGCCATGACCAAACATTTTTCCTATGTGTAAAAAGATGACGACTGACATAAACCTGATAGTAATGCTCTGTCTGACTTTGGTCACTCCTCCTTCCCCAGTGTCTCAAGAAAGCTCTAATCTTTACAAATTTACATTTTGAATGTTCATTGTTATGCACTGTCCCTTTACAAATAAATAAGTACTTAATCAATTATTACTGGCTCTGATTTCATGAACTTTTACAGACAGACTATAGACCTTGTAAATGGAAATCGTTCGTTTAATTACCCAACCCGTTAGCTAAAAAACTAACTAAGCTCTGCACAGTTGGAGCAACAACAGCATTTTGATGTAAAGTTAATTTGAGTGAAACAACAGCTCCACTGACAAAGGAAAATTATAAGTAGAGCTTCCAGTAATGAGAATTTAGAGCATAATTTAGATGAAAATTATGTCAGTGTTTGAGCTGAGTGCGTGCATGAAACACTAACCACAGGCTGAGGGGTTCCGTTTTGGGCGGTTTCTGATTCTGGATCCTCTGGTTCCTTCTTGATTTCCTTTGGAGGCTGTTTGCAAATGGCCTTTAGAACAGTGCCATTGAAACGGTCTTTACTAACTTCATCTGGATCTGGCCCACGCATCATGAAGCCCAGAGGAGTCAACTACAAACAAGGACAAGAGTAACAAATGAATAAACATGTAATTCTACAAAAGTGGCCAAACGTGCCTATAACAGGCTTCAAATTTGGTTTAAACAAAGACAATGTGGAGGCCCTCATAACTGGATAAGGGAATGAAGAATGGAAAATAATATGTAAATTTTTATACTAGCAGCATTCAGGCCATACCATTCAACATTAAATAGCACCAAGTTGTGAGAAACTTTATTCTCAGAAGTTGTCCTGTCTGTAATGCCAGGTGTCACTTGTACTATACCTTGTCTCGAGCAGCAGCCAAAGCTGCAGCCACTTCCTCTTTTTTCTTCCGCTCCGCCTCCAAACGGCTCTCCTCCTCTTCTCTCTTTTTCCTCTCCAGCTCCTGTTTCATCTCCTCCATTTTCTGCCTCCGCAGCTCCTCTTGCTCCTGTCGTTTCTTTTGTTCTAGCAAAACCTGCTCAGAAATTCGATTGAGTCTGCGGAGCCGGATAGCGCGCTTCTTCGTTTTTACCTACGAGTGAAAAATCAAGATTGAGAGAAACCCACATCAACACATCATTGGTGAAAGAACAGGAACACACATATGTGACCTCATCTCATTCACTGCAGTCACAATTGCGCTTTGCCATTAAAATCTTCTCCACACTATACTGAAGTGAGATCACGACTATAGAGTTGCTCTGACCTGTGTCAGGGTAAATTCCACTTCTTTGTCCACGTCATTGGAGCTGAACTCTGTGTCGCTGAAGTTCTCCTTTTTATCAAATGGGATGTTTCCATGTTCCTCAGAAATTAGGGTGCCTTGTACTGCACCCAGCTTTTTGATGACGCCCTGGAACAAATAATAAATGTGGGGAAAAAAGGTCAAACGGCAGAAAAATAAGATAAAGGATACAAAGGCACCACTCCTAGTATTAAGTAGTCCTGGTGCAGAAGTTAACAGTAGGATAAGGGATGCACCCATACTGGTATCTGATATTGGCGCCAGTATTGAAAATTTGATGGATCATATATCAGCTCTGCCGATATCCCATTTTGGTCTGTAAATTGGTTTAATAAAAGACCATTTACTGGCCAGTGATGGCCCAAAATGGTCCAAAATGTCTCATAATATTAAACTAATATTAAACTAATATTAAACGTGGCCCATGAGGTTTTAATTATTGTTACTGAAGAGCTCAAAGCTAAGCTCCAGACTTACTCACTGAACCCCTGTGAGAGGGTAAAAGGCTTAAGAGTTATTCTTGATAGTGAGCTTAGCTTTGAGCCACACATCAGATCCATCACTAAATCTGTTTTTTATCTATCTAAAAATATTGCCCGAGTCGGACCTTTTCTCTATCAAGCCAGTGCAGAGACTTTAATACATGCTTTTATCACAAACTGTGTTGATTACTGCAATGCCTTTCTGGTCTTCCAAAGAAAACTACAGCTCTACTACAGCTCCTCCAAAACTCTGCAGCACAGCTGCTGACGAGGACCAGGAACAGAGAGCACATCACCCCAGTACTGAAGTCTCTGCACTGGTTTCCTGTGAGCTTCAGGATAGATTTTAAAGTTCTTTTATTGGTTTATAAAGTTCTTAATGGTCTTAGTCCTATTTATTTATCTGATCAGCTTTTATCATATGAACCCTCTCGAACTCTCAGATCCTCAGGTAGTCGTCTTTTAACTGTCCCAAGAGTCCAAACTAAAACCCACAGTGAGGCGTCATTCAGCTTTTAACAGCTGACCTGAGGATCTGAGGTCTGCTGCGAGTGTTCATATTTTTAAAAGTAAACTCAAAACATATCTTTTCAATTTAGCTTTTAATTTAAACTTTTACTAGTTTTATTATTATTAATTGCTTTTAATTAAATTACCATTACTATTTTACTTAGTCTCCATCTGTTTTTAGCTCTCCATTTGTATTTTTACTATAACCCCTAGGAGCTTTATGTTTATGTTTTATTGTTGTATATATGCATGAAATAATGGGGTGGGGGGGTTGCTGTTGTTTTTAATATTGTCATTTTTTTCTGTTGCATGTTAAGCACTTTGTGCTACATTTCAAATGAATGAAAAGTGCTACACAAATAAAGTTTGACTGATTGATTGATCAGGGCAGACTGCCTCTCAGTGAGATCTGGAAAAGATGGAAAAGGAGGTCTTTGTAGACATTGAAGGACTTTACCATGTTGAGGGGCAATTGTTGTGTTGCCTTAAATCCACCTCTATGCATGACATTTCTTTGGTCTAAACATTAGCACAATATAGGCCATTTAAATGATCACGGCAATTGAAGCATTTGAACAGAAGTGAATTTAAAACTCATGTGGGTCAGACTGCCCCGGCGTTTCTGAGCTCGTACCTTCTCCCTCTTCTCCTTGGTGTGGTTGAAGGTGAACGGGATTTTAGGCTTGATGTTAGCGGCTCTCTTCTTGCCCTTAGTTTTATCAATGAGGAGGTTCATGAGCACTTGGTCGTACTTCAGCAGCGTCACTCCACAATCTCTGTGGTCAAATGTCACATTGGTCTTGTTTGTTCCAATCATCGCGTGAATCTGACCCGGATACCCCTTCGTTGTGGCCTAGAAAAAAGTGAAGTTATTTATACAGTAGTAGTCTGAATGATTTGTTGCCTGGGAGAAATTACTCAAACATGCGTGGATGACATGTTGTTGTTGACATGGCATGTTTCTGATAAGAGAACAAAATTATGAAATGGTAGAAATATTAAGAAGTCGTTTTACATAATACCCCCTCTTTAAATAGTAGTTGTAAAAGCCCTGGTAATTTGTTTTGAAGTAACTCTTTATCGGCCCACAGCCATCGGCCCACAGCCATCTCAGATATTTGTAAATGTAGCTCCCCCCCAATAACAAAGAACTAAAATCCTAATTCTAACATCCACTGAATAGACTGACCGTGGCCTCGATGATGGGCTGGCTCACAACTCCCTCATACAGCTCTGTGTCCAGCTCAAAGTTGGACAGGGGGATGTCTGGTCTCATTTGCAGTGGTTGGTCACTCAGGTCTTCTCTAACTGCCTGTGCCTGGGCCCCCACCTCTTCCTCTTCTTCTTCCTCTTCCTCCATCTCTTCGGTGGCCAGTGAACTTAGAGTGAACAGCAGCGGCTCACTGACTCTGCGGATCCGGATGGCACGCTTAACTCCATGGAGCTTTGGAAAAAAACATTGCAGAATTTTAATTTCAATTGGATAAACTTTCTGCAATAATTGTGGGTAAAGATGAGATAAAGTTTAAGAAAAGCAGAAGAATAGGAAGCGTGCAATCAAAATCAAATCTAACAACACTGTGCTAGTAGAATAAAGCTATAAGTCTATAAAAGTAATGTTTAAAAGTATTTATGAGTGCAGCAGATAATCCAAAAGTGAGTGATACTGTTTGTTACCCTTTACTTTCATGGCAAAACTCTGTACTGATGTCAGAGTTGTGAAAAGCGCTTATAAACTGTTTGCAATGAATACTTAGAATGCTCAGAATTAATATAGAAAGTCAAGAATAATTTGAAATTGTTTGCAGTGGTCCAAAGTTAAGTCATAGTTTAAAAAAAAAAAAAAAGTGCAGCAAGCATCATCGGCCCACACAGTCACAGTTCACACTTCCTACCTCAATGACGGTGAACTCCACTTCTTCGTTTATGTCTTCTTCCGTAAATTCCACATCGCTGAAGTTTTCCTTGATGTCAAAAGGGATCTCTCCAGCTTCGCACTTGATCACACCGTCACTTTGGTTTCTCAGGCTCAGGATTACTCCCTGAAGAGCAAAAAACAAAAACATAAGTGAAATGGAATACTTGTACACCAAGAGCCATATTACTCATATCAACACGGCCTCTTTGTGTTATGTGCTTCTAAAAAGAGAAGACACTCCATTCAAGACTGCATAACATTATTTCATTAGTATCTGATTTTGGACCACTATGGATGACTGAGGAAGTACACAGATATACGACCGCATGGCAATAGGAAAGAATGCAGGGATGGGCAAAAAAAAAGAATAAATCGATTAAGTCATTTTAAGTTCAAAATGATTTGTTTGGAAGAAGATCCACTTTATGTCACTCACTTTCTTGCTCTGAAAATTGCATTAGAAATGCAACAAAGGATGCTCACTGTGTGAAAACAGAAAAGCAAAGTTTAGCACAGGGATAGATGCCGACTGCCCTGAAATCAGTGACATCCAAAATGTGAAAGTGCAAATCACATCTTTTGCCCTACATTAGCAACAAGTTTAATGCAGCCTCAATACTGTTAGGATTTAGTTAGTTTTATTTCATTCACAAAATCAAGATACATTTCTCCAATTGGCCAATGGGTTCAATAAGATCATTTCTCAAAATAATGTTCCTATTATACTACTATTGTCTGTAGTCTCCAGAACAACTGCAAGAACAAAAAATCTAATCAAAAATTGAATTTCTTGAGAAAAAAATCAGTATTCAGTATTTCTTAGTATCAAAATCAAGGTTTAAATTTTATTATCAAAATCCATTATAAAGAAAACAAAACTCCCATAATGTTGGAAACCCATCACTGTTATGAAACCCTAACACCTGTCTCAAGAATGAAATTTATACTCTACAAATTCAACTGGATGAAATTATCCATGTAAAAATTATTTGTGCCAGCACATTCTTAACAGAATCTATGGGGAACACTGAAACTAGCGCTAGTACTTTGTAAGTATCTGATAGTGTTGTCACGATACTAATATAATAGAGTAGCTCAGTTGGTAGAGTGTTTGTTCACTGATCTAAAGGCTATGCTGTCGTTGTGTCACTTAACCCACCTCGCCCCTAAAGTCTGTGTACACTGGTGTATGAATGTGTGTGTGAATGGTGAGCGGTTCCTCGTTGTGAAGAGCTTTGTGTGTCTTGAAGGAAAAGTGCTATATACAAATGTGACCATTTACCATTTGAATTAATTATTTGATTAATTTGAAAGTATTTTGGTTCTGAGGGGCTTGCTATGCAATACCGATTCTGTTACCATGATGATGATAATAATAATAATAAAAATGTAAAAAAACACACAACATTACATCACAACGCTTTCTTTTCTATTCCCATGTGGTCTTATATCTGTGATCTCAGTGGTCCAGATAGGTTCCATAGTGGGCGTATGGGCGTATACTAGTCTGTGTGCTCTTATACTTGTTCTGATACAACTCAAACTATTCATGACTTTTATATATATGATATATGAATTTTTGTAGTATTGATACCTGCTCATGAGTATCTAGTTTTGATACTAGTTTTAGTACTGATTAGTATATGATGATGAGTTGACATTTGACAATCCTAGTATCTGTTATTTAATGTTTTTTTTCATTCTTTCTAGCATGTACATTTTTATATTTTACACTTGCCTTCTCCCGCATCTCGCCCGTGTGGCTGAAGGTCTCTGGGATCTTGGGCCTGATGTTGGTAGCTCTGCGTTTGTTTGTGACTAAGTCGGTGAGGAGGTTCAGGAGGATGTGGTCGTCCTCCAGCAGAGTGACATCGCAGTCTTTCTTCTCATAGGTCACGATGGTCAGGAGTTTACCGATGGTCACATTGACCTGCCCGGGGCAAAGGCGTTCGCCTGGCGCCGGCTCCTTTAGGGGCTGGCTCACCACGCCCTCGTAGATCTCAGGGTCCACAACCGCTGTCCCTCCATCTGGTACCTTAATGTCTGTGGCAATGTGCTTGTTCTGTATTACAAGGAAACAGGAAACATGTGAATATATATGAAGGTGACACCGAGTTCAATTTAACATATTGTGCTAGGTAAAGAGAAATGATCCTTACACTTTCATTAACAGCCGTGAAGTGAACTCTCACTCCTTTCACCATTGCTTTGCGATTCCCAAAAAATGAAGTAATAGTGAAGGTGTACTTCTCCTTGTCGTCTCCCTCAATGTAGCCGCTTGATGGCTTTAAATATGAAAATAAACAGACTAGAAATCATGCAAGGCTTTGGGGGCAGGAGTGCTACTTGGATATGCAAAAAATGTGCAGAATTGTTCTTTTGGTGCTCTTCAGTGAAGGGACCAGTCTCAAATACAATGTAGGAAAAAAACTGAGGCACTCAAAAAGTACAAAATAATTAAAAGCCTTTAATACCACATGGCAGATAAAATGAAAATACGCCAACACGTTTCGAGTTTGCCCTGATGAAGGCCGAAGGGCCGAAACGTGTTGGCGTATTTTAACTTTATCTGCCATGTGGTATTAAAGGCTTTTAATTATTTTGTACTTTTTGAGTGCCTCAGTTTTTTTCCTACTCTGTATTTGAGACTAGAAATCATGTCACATTTTCAGCAAGAAAGCATTTCCATTTCCATTTCTACTTGGCTCTACTAGGCATATTATAACCCAGCTGTTGAGCATTTCAGCTTGAGGTGGTGCCACCTCAGAAAGCACCAAGCACAGGAGAAAGACCAAATGTAAAAGATTTAATGTCAAGCTGACCCTGTTTCGCCCCTGGTGCCGTCTAGTTCTACATAGCACAAAACAAAATTGCTGTGAAGTGAAGATGAGTCGTGTACGTGGATGCAGAGTCAAAGTGTATGGAGTAGAGCTAAGTAGGACTTAATGGAATACAGAAAAACAGACATTCATTTTCTATTATCTTAAAATGTACCATGGCTCTTACCCCAACGTAAGATATTGTACCTATGGACCGGCCTGGTGGAGGTCTGCGAACAAAGAAAAATTGACAAACTTATCCCCAAAACTGCTCCATACTAAAATTGTTATAGTGTAGAAAATCCAGTTTTAGAATATATATCTCATTTTACAAAGGACAGCTGAATGAGATTTGTGCAGAAGTTTGTGGACTTACTCTTTAGAAACACGTTTTCCCAGCAGGCCTACATGTTTAGAGACCTTCTTGGGTTTTGGAGGTTTAGTCACTGCCTCTGTTCCTGGAGGAGGAGGAGGTACAGGTACAGCAGTGACAGTGTCCACTTCAGCAGGCTTTGATCCAGCGGTGGTAGGAGCAGAGAGCAGTGCTTTAATCTGCAGTAAGAGAACTCAAAGTTAGTCGAAAGATCAGAGACACTCCATGGACAGGCAAAACAAATGTACAGCGTGACTGACCCAGATGGGCTTTTCTGTGTCGGTCTCAGAACTCTGCAGAGATACACAAATATAAAATGCGTTACGGAGTTTGCTTAACATAAAATCAAAAGTTGCACTAGGAAAGTGCGTGTTTGTAAAGCATTAAAGGCAGCCTCACCGATCCACTCCAGCTCCCAGGAGGGTAGCCCGGGAAGCCAAAGGGTGGGGGACAGTCTGGAGGAGGACCTATTGGAGGAGGAATCCCTGGAGGAGGAATCCCTGGAGGAGGCACCCCAGGAGGAGGAGGTAACCCCACACCTGGAAGAGGTAAGCCTGGTGGAGGGCCACCCATAGGAGGTACTCCTGGGGGAGGTAAATCCGGATGGGGCCCTGGAGGGGGAAGGGCTGCAGGTGGTGGGCCCAATGGAGGAGGCTCAGGGCCCCATGGATCTGGGGGTAAGTCCCAGGGTGGTGGTGGTCCCCCTGGTGGTCCCCCTGGTGGTCCTGGTGGTCCCCCTGGTGGACCCCAGGCATCTCGGGCTCGACACTCTTCATGCCAGCGGCGCCACTCTTCCTCCCTTCTCCAGTCCTCAGGGCCCCAGTCCGGAGGTGGGTGAGGACCCCACCCTGGAGGCCCTCTAGGGCCCCAGTCAGGTGGTGGCCCACGAGGCCCCCAGAAATCAGGTGGTGGGGGTCCACGGGGTCCCCAGCCACCAGGAGGAGGGCACCAGTCATCTGGGGGAGGCCAGCCCCCACGAGGGCCCCAGTCTGGGCAAGGTCCCCCCCAGCCAGGGGGTGGTGGACCCCAGTCAGGCCCCATAGGAGGATGTCTTGGATCCATCACAGAAATGCACTGCTTCTGAGACTGAGGCGAAAGCTGCAAAGGAAGTAAATGTACACTCAGACAACAACCTTTACACGTTCTACACGTTTAATTACAAACACGTGCGTTATACACGTTTTCCAGTTTGTTTACAAACACGTACGATGCACGTATCTTGGATAGAAAGTCATCACACACAATTCATTATGATTCATTATTACACACACATGTACGTGCTTACCAGTGGCCCTGACAGGCTCTAGTGCAGCACCATAGAACAGGGGACATGCAGCACTGGGGTGCACACTGTCCGGTGCCTCTCAACAGAACGAGCTAACACCAGCGGCCAGATAACAGAGACATAATGGTCCGTGGACACTTCCTCCAACCCCCAAGTTCGCTCCCAGCTGAAAGTCCTTTGAGTTTACGGCGCAACCTGTGGAAAATGTGTTGATACAAGAGCTAACAACAACAGCGCCGGTCCGGTGTGTAGAAGCTTGTAGGAGGCCTTCTGAATAAACACTAACCACGTGGGCTTTTAGAGGCTTTAAGAGGCAGTGCTAAGGGTCACGGTGCGCCCACACCAACAATAACAAACAGTCAGACTAAATGCAGATTTACTCATTTATTTCCCGGACTAAATCTGATGCTAAGAGCTAAAGCTAATGCTAAAGCTCCACGCTCAGAGCGAGCGGACACTTCCTCTACTCACACACAGCGCACAGCAGCGTCTCCTAGCGGCCACTGAGAGAACACACCAGGGACCGAACCAGGGACCGAACCAAGGGACCGAACCAGGGACCGAACCAAGGGCCCGAACCAGGGACCGAACCAAGGGCCCGAACCAGGGACCGAACCAGGGACCGAACCGGGCTAAAGGCACTAGTCACACTGTATGGTTCTAGGACTGTTTAGTAACTACACACAGGACATAATGTAGTACAGCTTTGAGCGTTAGAGCGCTCCGTCTTTGTCTGTAGCCTGCTTTGACCAGAACGTTTTTTTGTATAATCGCTTTATATCAATATTTCATTATTATTGCACACCTGTGGATAAGGAAAAAGCACACAGTTCATTTCACAGGCCATGTTGTATGTATAATGGTCTAAGGACCAAACCTATTCATGTTTTTCACATAAAATGTTTGTCTGCAGACAATTATTTTAATTATTGATCTTTTAGACTGGTGTGGGCTTCCTTTCTCTTCCTAACACTCTTTTCAGTGCAAAATTAAATAAAAATAAATATTTCTTATAAATCTCAGCAACTCTGGGAAGGCCAAATTAGACCGCCCATAGGACCAAGTTTAGCACCTGGGCCCCACTGATCATATCTACATATAGGCCTACTAGGGCCACACTTTGAGGACTTCAGCTCCTCCTCTGCTGAAGTAGCCTAGTCAGACAAACCAGGAACAATTTGGTAACACAGGCACATGTAGGCTATAACACAACCTTTCTTGGTAAATATGTTTCATTAATTCTCAGACTTGACAGACTTTATGATCCCTAAGAGAAATTACTTGCACAATAATTCCAAAAATACAATACAATTGTAATAGGGTATTTTTTTCATTTTAATTAACAAATTTAATAATTGTGATAAGCCTCTAGTCATTTTTGTTGTTTATTTCATTCTGTTTGTGTGAGCCTTTTGTCCCTCACAGGTTCAGTGCATGGTTTACAGAGCTCAGAAGGAGACTCTGAAGAAAACTTACGGGAGAAGTGGCATAAATGTGTCAACAATCTAAACTGGAAGGAGTTTAACTGGTAACTAAGAATGAAATTGTGCTTCACCTTTCTGTCCACAAGGTGGTGATCAAGCGCTGCATTGGGAGTCTCAGTAAAATTGTGTGTAGGTGTGTGTGGGTGTGTGTATGTGTGTGAGAGAGATGTGAGCGGTATAAGTGTTTCCCAGGTCTGACAGATAAACACAACATTTGAGTTTTCAAATGTATCCGAACTCATTTGAGCAGGTAGCAATACTAAAAAAAAAGTTCACAGGACAGAAATGAGCCGTTCCTGAAAAGCTTTAGAATGATCTAGTATACAGCCATGAACCACTATGGAACCTACCTGGACCACTGAGAGATTACACACATATGACACGACATGGGAATAGAAAAGACAGAAAGAACTATTATTTAATGTTGAAAATCACGTTCTAATGTCTGAATGAAGAGTGTTTAAAAGGAGTTATCACTACTGTCATTGGTAAATACTGGGACCTAGTGATGGCCCGTCACCAGTCAACTTCTGAGAAGAAAGCTCCTTAATGGGGGACTTGGGATCTGTTATTAGTAGTGGTATTACTAAAGAGGGGGCCAATTATTCTGGAATGTAAATTGTTTTGAATGCTACATTTGCTGAAAAAAATAAACATATTTTATAAGTTTCACTGTTGTTTTTAACAATGTGAGTCAGATCACTCCCCTTTCACTGCACTATCATATTACAATCATATTAGGTGGTGTGTAAAGCTGTGTGTGGCTTGTGAACTGAGCACTGAACAAATGTTCCTGCCAACTGTAAGGTGGTTTGAATAATGTATGGGAGAGATCACTAAATTACTCAAACATGCATTGATGACATCTAAAACCACTTCAGGCATGCCTAGGGTGACCATTTGTCCCGCACATGCCACAGGCCCAAAGGTCAGGCTCTATATGGTGGTACAGACAATCATGAATCAGTGCTAGTGCAGCCTTTGCAGCTCAGTGAGTGAATTCTGGAGGTTCTGAGCTTTCACATGAGCCATGGTCTGTCCATACGCTGAAAATGAGACAAACCTGGATGTGTCTTCTATCTGCTGGTTAAGGCTCTAATGGCAGTCTAGTTGTGACTGTAATACCTATTTTAAAACTGCAGGAGCACAGGTGTAACACAACATAACAATTACCTCCTGACATTTACATCAAGCAACAGCATCTCCATTAACCAGGGGAAGTGGACACTATTTCCCCACAGCTGTCCACACTGACTGGACCACAGAAGTCATATGATTACATTTCTTGCAACATATTCAGGTGTAGATTACAGGCCCAGAGGCCAGAGTTGAGCAGCAGTGCCGTGACAAACTAAATCACATTTTCACAGTCTCCATGCTAAATTCCATGATGTGAAAAACCCCTTCAGCAGCTCATGTATTGATCACCTTGGTTACAGTTCACTCGTTAGCAGGGCCAGCATCCTACTGCACTCAGAGGAGCTGCGTGATGGACCGTCTCCTCCACTGCAGGCTCTTCTACTCTCCCTTTGAGAAGCAACTGTCCATAATGTGCTCCTCACAGCCAATTCCTTTTTTACACATTGATTTAGAGAGCAGAGGGAGTCCATTGGTTCAACTGTGGACAGGGTCACTGGAAAAGAGAGGCACGGTGCGGACAGAAGCTTGTGAGCTGTACCAATCATACACACCATAAACACATCATCGGAGGATACACAAACACGAGGAGGGATAGTGCAAAACAGACTGATGCAACATGATCCAACACAAACACGTACCACAGCTAAAAACAACATTAGCATTTTATACTAGTAGTTGTTTCCTCTCACCATTTAAAGTTGTAATTGTAGTGGTTCATGCATATTTGAGCAATGTTTAATAGGCTTTGGCTCTTGTTTTTTTTTTTATTTAGTTGATGATTTTAAATGATTCATGGGTGTCATAAAATATAACTATGTAGAAGCCACAAGTACAATGTCGTCTTTAACACTATGATCACACAATCTGTTTAAAATGTGTGTGGTTTAAATCAATTTTGTATTTTTCTTGAGTTTTCAGACTTATTTTGGACAGTGTTTGCATATGTGTGGATTGTGTCACCAAATTTGGTCACAGGGTGAGAAGATTTTCAAAATCAATAACTCAGACTTCCGAGGTTTGTGGTGGTTGGTAATAATAAAATTGTGAAACAAGTGCGTAATAAAGGAAAACTGTTATGCACTCAGCCCATTAATGACTAACATTTGAGTAAGTATAGTCACATTTTCTTTGTGTTTTGGTCATTTTTAAGCAGCTTTTTTGTATTTCACTTAAACAAATGACAATGTATGTATGACAATGTATTACTGTTGGCAAAATGGGTCAAAAATAGGGACAACTGGGACAAAGCGATAGTTTTGAATGAAACTGTCCTGGGTAAATAGGGATGTCATACTCACCCTACCATGGTAACTGATGAACAGTGTTGGGAGTAACGCGTTATAAAAGTAACAAATTACTGCTGTTACTTTTACTTTTACTGCTGTTACTGTTGCTTTTTGCTGTAAAGCAGTAATATGGCATTAAGGGTGACGTATAGTTTTGCGTCGACTCAACGCGCCCTGCCGCTGTCGCCTTGTTGCCGTCGTTTTTGATTTATGGACCTGTGTTGAGGTCTATGCACCACGAAGTAATTCACTGAAAAAATGCTAGGGGGCGACGATATCTGTCCATTCATATATACGGTCTGTGAGTATGACCCGCAGACGTATAATCTCTGAAAAGTTTAACATGAACCACCTCTAACATGATAAAAGCACAGAACAGACTCACCATTAGTACAATATTCCTCTGTCACACATATGCGCAAAGCTGCACTAAACACATTATTTCTCAATGTACTGTATACTGAAAGAAAGAAAAGCCAACAGGAATGTATACAGAGCAGTGGTACGGAGGACCAATCACAGCTCTTATCGTCTGCGTCGCTTCCCCTGCTTTCTGTGGCGTTTTGACGCGTAGTTAGAAAATTTCAGAGGTGCACGTCGGTCAATGCAGAGGCTCTGCGTAGGGCGTACGCGTCGACGCAGACTCTCTAAGTCATGACGCAGATGATTTGACGCTGGATCGTAAATTGGCCTTTACAGGGAAAAAAATAGTAATATTTTATTACAAATGTCAGTAACACACGTTACAATGCTTTTTTTTACCTGGGTTGAAGTGGTGGGTTTTTCTTCATACAAATTTGCTAAAATTACCGCGATATCAGCAGCGCTGAAACGCTGGAGGTGTGCCCACGTAGACCATCGGGTGACCGCGAGCGAATGGGCCAATGCAGAACTCCATGCTCCACGGGGCGAACTGCAGCTGATGCCCAATGCCCAATCGCGCTCGGGTTCTCTCAGGGGCGGTCCTAGATTCCAAGTTCTAGTCCAAGATTAGTCCTGGTTTGGTCCTAGTTTAGTCCTGGTTTAGACCTGGTTTAGTCCTAGTTTAGACCTGGTTCAGTCCTGGTTCAGCTCTGGTTCAGTCCTGGTTTAGACCTGGTTTAGTCCTGGTTCAGTCCAGGAGTTCAGCATCTTCACAGTTATTTTGATGAGTGTAACTTAAAAGTAATGCAAAAGTAAAGTAATGCGTTACATTTTATATACAATAATATTCTAATGTAACAGATTACTTTGAAATGACAGTAACAAGTCATAAATTACGCTTTACAGTTTTAAAGTAACTTGCCCAACAGTGCTGATGAACATTCCTCCATACACATACACGTACAACACCCCCAACGTGATCACACTGCAGTGCATCAATAGGCCTATTCTTTATTCATATTTGAAGCTCTTTCCTTTTCTCCACACTGATTAAAATGCACATTGAAACTTGAGATTGACTCCGGTGAACTGGTGACACTATCCAGACAGCCCAAGGTCTGGTCCAGTCAAAGGATGTTTTTATCATCTAAGCTGTGTCGCCATGACGACGGTAAGTGTCCTCCTGTAGATTGTGCCTGAATGCTTGTGAGT